AGATTACTCACGCTCCACCGGCGATTCGGGTCAGACGGATTTTCGGCGGCTGTTGCGACGTGTCGACGCGGAGTCGGACTTTTTCACTCGTACCGCGCCCGATCCGGACGAAACGAAAGTGAATCGCGAGCGAAGCGAAACGAAACTCGATAATATCGAGCAGATTGGGAGGAAGTAAAAAAAAAAGGAATACTCGTCCGTAAGTGATGAAAGAAAAAGAAGAACGAAGAGAAACGTCTTCATTTGGTCGTCGACGGGCGAAGAAACGGAGGCGTTTCTCTCCGTTTCCGAATGTTGCGAGATGATCGCGCTTTTGTCTCGTCCCGCTTTCTCTCGATTATCTTTCCTCCCCCCCCCTTCCCTCCCTTCCCGAACTTTGACAAGCATTGCGGTGGGATGACTGTCGTTACGTGTGCTCTGCATCACATGTCAAGCGAGACATAAGAGAGATAGAGAAAGAGAGAGAGAGAGCGCACGCGCGATGCTAAAGGTGAAACTCGAGACGAACGGATAGATACTGCCGAGAGGAAGAGTGCGAAAGAGAGAGAGAGAGAGAGAGAGAGAGAAAGACGGAAGGGAGGCGCGAAGAACGGATAGACATTACGTTCGTAAATCTATCCGTGGGTGATACTAAAGCGGGGTAGGGAGGAGGGGGAGGAGGTGAGAAGACGAAAAAACGAAAGCACGGCACGTGTTTGCCATTCGCTTAACCATCTCGCAAATTACGGCCCGGTGCATTCTGTTTCTCTTTTTTTTTTACGCTCGCATTATTTATATTAGCGAGCGAGGACACGCGCGCGCACGCGCTTGCGATACTCGGAACGAAAGTATGCAGAAGGGTGCGCGATCCGGCAGATCCTTCTCTCTCTCTCTCTCTCGGCTTGTAAAATCGGCGTTTTAAAAGCGCACTGGAGATTTGAATATTCACGGTTTCATCCGGCGAGCGACGATCGTCGCTTGATATCACTCGAAAGCGCGGCCATGCGGATCGCGACCGCGCGTAATTGAAAAATGCGCTCCAGATACATCTTGTTTGCGGACCCGACGAGAGACGATACTCGGGCGTGGGTAGAATCAACGGTATTTTCGCCGTGTTTTTTCGCGTGCGCGCGCGATACGAACGGATGATATAATGGCGTTTAGAGAGAGACACACCGGCAAAGAAGAGAAATTCCTTCCGTCCGTCGTTGGCAAGAGCACGCGCGAATGAGTTGCGAATACACACACGGTCGGCCGTGAGATCGCAAAGCGCCACCACTATTAATTCTCGACGAATGGAATCCGCGTTGTGGGGCTTTGGTCGCGTTTAGAAATCGGAATAATAAGGAGAGAAGAGCAAAACAGCAATCGTACACTACCGGAGGCGCTGGCGTCATTCATCGGGAACTTTATCTATATTGCAAATCAGGAGGAGCGCCACAATATTCTCCGTTCCTCCGGTTTTAAAACTTTATGAAGCGATTTAGCACGGTCTTCCTAAAAGTCTTAGGATTTCATGATATTTTGAAGTCGCGTACGGTATGATTAATTGCGTGTTTCCGATATTATTTCGGCGGCCAGAGAGAACAAAATCTGCAAAATCGTGGATTTCTTAATTGTGACACTTTTGAGTATTTGAAATACGTTTGCAAATCTTGAGATTTCTCTGTAATGGCACAGAAGAACATGGTAACGTTGAAAATTTCCAATTAGCGCGTTATTTTTAATATCTGCGCGTCATGACTGTTGCTTTGGAGAATCGTTGTCGATTCATCAAATTATCAACAGCCATGATGCACAAATAATACTCCTGATTAGAAATGTTTGATGTCACTATGGCTTAAAAAAACGGGGCAGCATTGATGGAGTCTTTTACACATGCATGAAAAAAAAATTAGTCTTAAATCAAAAATAAATATTTTCCTATATAAGCAAGAATACCATAATCTTCTTAGAAGACTTTTGGTCTTGATTCGATTGAATTTATATTGATGCAAGTATCACATGAACTCAATTAGAAATTAAAAATCTCCTAAGAAGATTATAATATTCTTGCTTATACATAAGAATATCTATTCTTGATTTAAGACTAATTTTTCTTCCGCGTGGTATATGAGAAATGGATACACCGGCACTTTTCCTTCGGAGGTGTCCAAATCGTGTATTTCTCGTGGTGGATGCGAAGTTGGACAAGCGAGCCATCGCGACATCGACCGGGAACGGAAGAAAAGCGGAGCGGGAAGCATCACGGTCGCCAGATCGCTGCCTCTAGAGAGAGTTATACGATTCACCTTACACCGTACTACGCCGCGTGACTCGCATATTTTCGACGCACTAGCGTATGGTTTCTCTCTCTTGGACTCTCCTAGTTACTTAGGGCCGCCTTTGGGATTAGAACGACTTAGCGCGCGCGCGCGCGGTGCAATGCCCTCGTGCAAAACGAGCCTCTCGCATTTCCCTTTCCCTAACTTGCGCATGGCCAAGCCCCCTCCTCGCGCTTGCCCCCTCTTTCTGTTTCCCATACGAACGCACAATATACGTGAACGCGCGCTCGTGTGCACTCGCATACATGCACGCGTTTTGTTAAATCTTCGATATTAAAAGAATATCTAAGATAACGAGAATTTATTCAGTCAAATAGCGCCGAATTAGTGAAAATACGGAGGACTTATTAAGATTAAAATTAAGATCGCTGCCGGAGCAAGGAGTAAAAGTACTATCGAAGATCGCGAGCAATTTAGTAGACGGTACAAAATTTTTTGTCACAAACGGTCCACTCAAATTTGTGTGTTACTTTAACAAGATGAATATGTTAATTTAACATTTGTTTATATATCTTTTAACATATTCTCCATATTAAAGAAAAAATTTCAACGAACTGTTTTTAATATGAAATTTTCTACTGTATATGAGTGAGAGAGAGAGAGAGAGAGAGAGAGAGAGAGAGAGAGAGAGAGAGAAAAGAAAGAATTAGGCGTTTAACTAAAAAAATAAACACTAAATCACTGCAACTGAGTACTTAAGATTGTTTATTATTAACTTTGTAAAGATTTCCCAGACAAATTTTACTTTCGCTTCATCATGTTTTCAAATCTTTTCCACTTTCTCCGTCTCTATTTGGGGTGAACTGAATTCCGTCGGGTCCTTTTCGTTTCATGCACCAAGTACAACCGAAATTGATTTAGAGGTTTCGTTACTTTCGACTCTCAACGTAGACTCTATTGCTGCGACGAATGACGTGTATTAATTGGCTGGATATAATACCCGTAACGTTCGTATTTGAGCGGGCTAGATTTTTCTATCCAATTGTAAGATAAAATGCGTTCTCTCACGCGCCTCACCGCACCGCTCGGCGACGGTTAACCGCGGTTTGAAGGTTTAAATGAACGCGCGACGCATATTATCGACAAATGCGAATGAATATGCGTGCGATGCCGACGTACATACCGACCGCATTACGTTATACCTGTTTCGATTCGTCGATGATGGCAAAGGAAGTGCGTCAGCGAAGAAAAAACGGGTCGTATTTACACCTTAAGGTATTTTCCCCTCTCCTGTGCGAATTCAGCGACCGACTGTTTACAAATTAAATTTTCCATACAGTCAGTTTCTCTCTCTCTCTCTCTCTCTCTCTCTCTTTCTCTCTCGTTCGTAGCTCTGTTTGTCGTGTCTTTTATTTTGTTTGCACCGTTAACACTTTGACTGCCACGCCGAAATTACATGTTTTGCTCAGGACGCCACGGGAGTATTTTTATTATTCAAAGCATATAATGGCAAAATAATAATAAATTGATGATATAAGACAACATTCTTACCCAATGGAGCGTTCATCTTATTGGTAGTCACAGGTGACCACCGTGGTGCCTTGGTAACGATTGATAGCGACAAATTAAAACAAGGCTTCGTTCATTTCAACAAACTATTCGCATTCGTTATTTCGTCGTAAGCGAAACGTCCAGAATATATTGGTGAAACGTGTAGAAGATATTAGTAAACGGTATTTGGTCACTCTATATATAATAGTAGGGTATGTGCACACTTCTAACTTCAATTATATGATTATAAAGCAGCATTTACGATTATTTTCTGAGGTGTGTTTATAATAATAAAAAGGTGACCACCTACTGTCCAGATTGAATTGATGAGCCACATTTATGTTTAAAGTGTTTTAACACAGTGCACCGTTAGATGCAAGATTTATTCTAATATTTTTTTTATTGATGTTCTAATAAAAATTTTTAATTGTTCAATGGGGCACTTTTTATTTCAAAGTATCTTCTATTTATCGGTTATATTCAAAATGCGCTAACTGTCAATTTTCATTCAATTTTTACAATTGTAAAAAGTTCAAGCGCTCCGGTCACCAATGACCACCGTGGCGTCACAGGAGAAACCGTGGCCGGTCATATATGACCAACGTGGCAGTCAAAGTGTCAAAAGGTCACAAAAACGATAGTTGAAACGATTTTTCTCACAACATGTATGGAAAAAAAAAGAATGCTTGAATTAACGTAACACTGAACGAACCAAACACATTTTCGTTAAAGAAAATGGAATTTCTGTTTCTTGCGAAATAAATTTGATTTCTGGGACCAGAAATTCTGTTTCCTCCGACCAAAAGACCGTGTCTGATTTATTCGCTGTCACATTAATTCAAGCAATCTTATTCTCTCCGTGTAGTTTCGTCGATCTCGGAGAAACCTCAAATTCGCTTGCGGCAAGTTGCTGTAGGATCGTTAGCGGAGATTTGCAATGCTTTCCATTTCATCATCGAAACTGTACTTCGCGGGGAATTGGCTCAATTATTGCTCAACTATTGCAACTTTTTAACGGTGAAACCGCAATAAGCCGAAATAAACAGCGGCGTATTCTCAAGAAGAAAGGGAAACGCGAAGCGTGAGCCCGCAAATCGCGAGGTGAAGCGAGACGACGTTTTTTTTAAATTTGCACGTTTTATGCAAGTGACAAGTAAAAAGGCGACGACATTTGCGTCAAGAATTGATCGTTCGTTTTGCTTTCAGAATGCAACTTCGGCCGACAGATCCGCGAATTGGGCACCACGTGGTTCGCGGACTTGGGCCCGCCCTTCGGAGTCATGTATTGCATCAAATGCGAGTGCATGCCGGTACGTATCACAGTGGTACACGTATCCGTGCGAGAGGAGGACGTGACAATTGTCACAAACATCGCGCGAAATCCCAAGCACAAAGGGAGCAAGGAAGATGGGCGCGGGAAGATTGTCACGCTGTTGAAGCTTAAAATTACACCGTCAATTGCACTCGCGTCGAAATGGTGCCCACATGTGACACTTCGCATACGCGCCGCTTCACGCGCCCATAATGTTTCTAGTAAACAATCAGTGTCACCAGAATTTATTAACATACATGAATAAAGAATAATATATGATTCGTACGCGCGACCGAACCCCCCCCCCNTCTCTCTCTCTCTCTCTCTCTCTTTCTCTCTCTTTCTTTCTCTCTATCTCCTTCGCCTTCGAGAGCTCATTGTCGAGATACGCGTCTATAATCACGCCTGGGTGCTTATTACGATTTTTCGTTCCCGATTATGTTTTTCTCCCTCTCTCTTTTTTTTTTCTCTATAATCCGGCTCGTATTTGATACAAGCCCAGTAAAATGTTATTCATATGGAAAAAAAAGATAAGAGGGAATAAAGTAAGTTTCTATCAATGCGCCGATATATAACAGAAATCGGAGCACGTTGCGTCGCGTACGTGCTCTCTTATAATTACGGCACCTTGTTTGCGTCTCCCTTGGTATATAATTTAGCGTCTGGGTTAGATAAATACTACGATATTGGCGTAAAGCTAACGTATCAAATGTTGAGATACCGGGGGCCACGATTCGGAGACCGCTCGAAGTTGCTCGCGACAAACTGGGCGGAAAAAATTAATTCGCGAATATTCGCGTCGCGAAACACGTCACATCGGCTATTGATCGAGCTAACTGTTAATAACTCTGATAAGGTAGAAAATCTCCGGATTATTTAAAAGAAAATAGCAACTTAAGCCCTGCCCTGCCGAAATAATTTTTAAACAATCTCGCACTGTGTTATGAAATATAAGGTTCGCACGATGATTTCTCTCATCAACGTTCGATGCGATTCATCCGAACGTTTCACGCACTACGTGGTACGGCGCTTCGCGTTTGCAATTGTTCACTCACCATTTCGCGTTGATGTCCTGCGACGTCTTCAACATCCAGTTTCCTCGTAGCGTCCAACGGTTCTCCCAATCGTCCCATGTCGACAGCTCTTCATTTACTTCACTTCACGACACTGCATTCGCGACCGTTTTAACATTTGACGTTTTAACGAGGAGTACGATAAACTTCGACACTTCGAGAGCACACTCGTAAATCGCGTATAAACAAATCGCGTGCCGAAGTTCGCGTCGCGTCTTCGACAAAAAAAGTTGACGTTCCGTTTCGCGGATAAGTTCAGCCGGAAACAAAAAAAACCTGAAAAAAGCCAATTTTCTGATTAGTTATTTCGGTAGACGTATCAATGTATCAGGAATATGGGGGGGGGGGGGCCTCGAAACTATTTCTGTCGTGAACTAATCGAAATAAAGAGCGGTAGGTTGATTCTTAATACCCTCGCGTGCTGTCATTGTTCAAGACGACTTTAGCACAACAATTGCGCGTCCAAAGTGACGCGTCTCACGCACGCTTCGACCGACTCGAAAAGCTCGGGAATCACGTCTTCGGACGTGTTACCTCCGCGTCAAAAACTGCTACAATCTCTCAGCAGTTTCATACATACGTTACATGTCAACGCCACGGAGAAAACAAATTTCGCTAGAACAGCAAATGTTTGTCAATATAGTGACGGCAAGAAAAAAATTTGTTTAGACAGCAAAAAATTGGTATGGACAGCAGAGAGACTTGTTAAGAGTATTAATTGCTATTTGCTGGATACATGGGCAATTAATACTCTTAACAAGTCTCTCTGCTGTCAAAACAGATTTGTTGCGGTCTAAACAAATTTTTTTTGCTCTCACCATATTGACAAATATTTGCTAGCGAAATTTGTTTTCTCCGTGCGGTCCCGAAGCCACGTGATCGTCAACCGGGAAGCCTTAAGGTTCGTCTACAATAGCCGTAAAGTAATGCAGTAAGAAGACGTAAGCAGTAAGCTAACTGGCCAACCACAGCCGATTATTGTTGGACTGTAAGAATCCAATTGGTCAATTAGCTTACTGCTCACGTCTTAATGCATACTTTATGACTACTGTGGACGGCCATTTAGAATATCGTTGCCTTACTTTACTCGTTAATTCCACATTTTCCACATCGTAATATTGACACTGCACAATATTTTATAACACTTAATCCCCCCTTGACGTTCGAGCTGTCAAAATACGTAACCCTCGCGATGACAACTATTCGCTGTAACCGCCCGGGTAACCAACGACTCGCATCGAGCTCGAGATGGCCAATCGACAATATCAAAATAAATTAAGAGAGAGATTGCTCCTTACTTGGTCTAATCAAACGAAGAATTATTTATGTGTCTTTAGGGGTAAAGCATGGATCTTTTGGAGTGCCATATACTCGCATATTTTCAAGAATAATATCCTCCCACAATAAATATTAATATATCTACTGGCACTATATAAAAGAGATTCACACTTCGTCCCTAAATTACGTTCATAAATAATTCTTCGTTTGATAAAGATAAATATTTCAAGCGTCAAATCGAGTGCCGTCACATTATACGGTAATTACAATGAGAATATCGAGCGGCGTGTAAAAAATATTTTATGAAAATATCGAGGAATTTATTGCGCCAAACGTCGCAATCGCAATCGCGCGCGCGCACGATAAGTAGCCGGTAAATGCTAATGAAACACGATACTCGACGAGCCTGCCGAGAAGAGAAAATTAATCGTACAGTCGCAAGAAGAGATGCACGATCATTACGTACACACGATGTCATTAAATTCCTCATAGATCGTTAAAGTTCACAGAGTCCATGCGGTTCAGTTTGTTTTTTCATCTCCTAACGAGCTAATAATAGCGGCGACTGCGAGGAAAGAGAAGGCGCGATTTCGATTGAAGCAACTCGGTTTTTTTCGCGCGAATCATAAAGTCGATTCCAGCGAGAATTCAAGCGAGAATTCAAGTCAGATTTATCCGAGAGTGGACCGCGAAACATCGGCGTTTCACGCCGAGAAAACGTGTTTTCAAGGCGGATCGACCCGGTATTTACTATCGATAGGGCAACGCTCGACCTTGCGCGCAAATAAACAACTCCGTCCGGTGTTAGTGAATTTTCCGTCGCCCGGGGAGAATTTTCCGTCGACGGGAGGAAAAACTCAGTCGTAGACACAGAAAGATTCCCGCAGGAGGTTTCCGCCCTCGGTCAATTGCTCCCAGTTGTCTTCAATCGAGTTTTAATGCGGCCGAATGTTCACACGAATGTTCTCAGTCGCGGCGAGTCCGAGGCAGCATTTCTCGTCGCCGAGTTTTCATCCGGTTCCCGTTCACTTGCGGGAGAACTCAGATCTTTTCCTCGATTTGCTATAAACAAACGCTACGACGATTATTATTATTATTAGTATCTACGTTTCGTACCGGTCGGCCACCGACTTTCCTCCGATTGACTGACCGCAAAATAATCGGACGAATTTTCGGTTTGAATCGGTAACCTCGTGACGATCGGACGCGTCTGCTCGCTCCAACGGTGAGCTTTATTATCATCCTGATAAGAAACGGCATCAGGCCGATCGCCGATCTGGAGCCTTGAAAACACGCCTTTTTTTCGCGTGATCCGCAATCGCGACACTCGTCGTGTTACCTTGCCTCCGACGGGATCACGAAGAGTCCTTCCCTCAAAAAGATATATTACATTCGATCCGACCGAAGAAAGAGGGATGGAACAGGAACGCGAGAAAGAGAGAGAACGTTGCGGCGGCGGCACGCTGTTACGTTCGGCTCGTGGACGCGAACGCGACCTCTATTTTTAGACTTCGGAGGAATGACAGTCCCTCTTCAGTGTACACGAGGAGCTATTGATAGGTCGCGGTCTTCGTTGTGGAAGAAGCAGACGCGTCGCGTGAATCACACGTCTCTGTGGGAGAGAGAAAACGCCATGTCTCTTCGCCTAAAGTCTTCGCCGGGAGTGATGTCTCGACCCCTCGTCTGTCGGCCGGGAGTCAACACGGCCATAAGAAGTCCTTAATGATGCGGATTTATGAGGAGGATGTCGATTAACCCCGGAGCGAGAGTTAACGGATGCCACGTCTCCGTACACGTCTCCTCCGCCGATATCGCGATACGCTTTACGGCGACCCGAGCGATTAATATCGGGGTCCTTTCCTTTCGTCGGGGGTCAACCGTCGAGCGCGCGGCGTTTCGCGCCTCGGGAATGCCGTCGCCGTCGCCGCGGTCTCTCAGTGGGACTCTCTCTCTCTCTCTCTCGCGCGCGCGCACACTCTCGAGCACTGCCGCTGAGAATTCCTCTCTGCAACCGCCGCACGATTCGCGCGCGCGCGCGCTGCAGATTTAGCGCGCACTGTATTCCGCGTTGCCCGTTGATTTGCTCTCCCATCTTCTTCCTCCCCGTTTCGTCGTCGCGTCAAGAGAGAGAGAGAGACGCGGGCGAAGTAAAGCTGAAGATAAAGTTGCGCGCGAAACTACGAGACCGGTCCGAAAGGGAGAATCGCTGGATGAAATTCGCGAAAGCACAACAAACATCGCCGCTCGTCGCAAGCTCCTTTTGTCTCCCTCGGCGCTCTCAATTGGTCGTTTATCAGCTCGTGTGAGATCCCGAGTCGAAATTTGGTTACTACTATTTTGACGCTCTTAAGAATAGTCCGCGCCTACTTAAGTGGCCTGTATGTGTGTGGATTAGTAAAGACCTACTTGTTAAGTGCTCTTTCAAACCTTTGATTCTACCGATCTGATTTTAACGCTTCGTTGAAGCTGCACTAAGAGAAAAGTACTGCATTCGAGTAAATATTATTAAATTCATATATGGGCGTTTGATACAATCTATTTAGACGCCGAAAATGGCGAAAACGGAAATTTAAGACATCATCATGGTCAAAGTAGAAATAAATTATATTATGAAAATTACACCTGTATATTTCGCTATCTCAGCTGCTGCTGTGTTGCAGAATTAAAGGTTTAACACGAGATCAAAGTTTCAACTCGGGATTGAGGCCAGTATTCATAGTCCGATCTTACACTTAAAATTATCTTAAGTTTTCATCTTTAGATACACACCGCGTAGCCAGTGAAATGGCCCGTGCAGAATCTTAACACATTGGCGGCGGGTAAAATTTCGCGGGTGATGTCGCTAAAGTGTTTCACACCTGTTTGGAAAACGAGATATCTCGTTTCTCGTCGCCAACGCGCGTATTTCTATGAAAACAAGATTTCTCGTTTACCGTTTCGCCAATCGTGTCAGGGCGAACTTAAGACGATCTTACGTGCGAGATGAACCATGAACAATCTCTCCGTGAAATCTGCGTAATCGAGTAAAGTCCAGCGTGCTCGTCTTCTCCACTCAGACAATGACCGTTCGGACCATCGTTTCTGCTTCCAGGTACAGAAGAAGAAGCGAATCATCGCGAAAGTTCAATGTCGCAACATCAAGAACGAATGTCCCCAGCTCACGTGCGACGAACCAGTTCTGCTACCAGGCCGATGCTGCAAATCGTGCCCCGGTGACTTCAGTAAGTTACGCGACACATAGCTGATTATATTCATCCGGCCCGTTACGGCGAATCTTTCCCTTCCCGACCGAGGAGAGGAAAAAAGTGGCGAAGACGTCCGATCGAAAAGTCGCACGCGCGCGATTTTCGAGCGTGCGCGTTCGTTTTCGCTCGAATATCATCGTGAAAGGAACGGGTTCGGGTATCTCGACTATGCGATTTACTCCATCCGCATTCTCCCTGCCAGCCGCCGATACACGAACAGATCCGCGAGGAGAAATAGAACGCGCGTTTCTGCAGCGCGCGCTCGCGGAGGCCCCAAGAATTTGGCCGCCGCCGCCGTAAGATGCAGTGAAAGTAGTATATCTCGCACTGATAAGGCCGCCAGATAAGGTTTGCGTGCGTCGGTCAGCGCGCGGCGGTAATGAGCGCGAATTGGCACGGAAACGCTCCGCTTCGGGGGGAGGAGGGGGGAGGTACGGCGATAGTATCGCCGAACGCTTCGTATTTATTGCGCGTAAATTGTCTCTGAACGACGGAGAGAAAAATTGGCAATTGCGAATGTCCGAGCCAACGTTCCCGGTTTCCTACGTGTGAAACCCCCACCACCACAGGGACGGAGCAATTCCGTTGGTGTGACGGAATTTTTCGGATGCCGGGAAACGAAAACTCGATTGCTGAAGCGGAAAAATTCCTGCAGAAACATTCCTCGCTCGGTCGGTCGCTCTCGGTTGTCTCACAATCGAGCTTTAACGCAGCTGAATATTTTCACGCACGAGGAAAGAAACTTTCGTTAGCGCGAATGAATTTTCCGTCGGCCGAGGACAGGACGAAAACTTCGTTGCGGAGATTCTGCCGAAGATTTCTGCTCAATCGATCGCTCTCACTTGTCTCTTTTCCCCGCCCACGACCTTTTGTCGTCGCTCGCTCGGTCACTGCACTCGATCGCGTATTTTCGATAAGGATAACTGAAGAATAAGAAAGGGTTACGAAAGAGAAACTCGTGAGGGAGGGGGTCAAGGGGAAAGATTGCCAGTGGATGAAACAATTCACTCAACACTAAAAACGGGCGTATAAACAGCGGGAGGGAAAAGGGAGGCCGACGGATATAGAAAAAAAAGGGGGATAGCACGCGCGGTCAGAAGGTTGTCCGATCACGCTCTCTCGAGAAGGAACTCGAGAAGTAGTATTCGCGGGCGAGAGGAAAGCGGAGCGAGAGACGGTGAGGACGGACGCCACGGTTTAACGCCATGGCGCCGGTTATATTACCGCATGGCGTCACTTCGATTAAGTCGTGCAATCTAAATGTAAATATTAGCATACGTAATGATCGGGCATAACACGCGCGCGCGCGGTAATAAGAATAGACGAGAGATGTGGATGAGGGAGAAGGTAAATGGCGGAGGAACGAGATCAAACGGAGCGAGAGAGAGAGAATACGAGGAGCAGCGAGCGATCTCGTAGAAATCGTTTATAAATCGTTTGTAATCGCGTCCTCCCTCTTTCTCGCTCGTCGACGAGGCCCGAAGCGTCCGAATAAATCGAGAGAGTCGGAGTCGCGCTTCGTTACCGCTTTTTACGACCGCATTCATATCTCGCCGCAATTGGCTATGGCGAGGCGAAACGCGCACGTATTATCAATTAGGTTAATATGACACTTTTGATAAAGCGCGCGCGCATCGCCGGTCGGCGAAGGCGGCTCAAGATTCCGTCGCGATTCGCCGTCTGAACGACGGGCCGATGTAGTGGTAAAGCTGGATCTGCGATAGGTGCAGCAAGCCTTTCGCTCTAATGTAGTAATTCCCAGCAAAAAGCTGGGTTTCCGAGTCTACCAAATTCCTAAGCAATTCCTAAGTTTCGAACGTTATCACGACTATCGGCAGCGCAGGGGACGCTTTTTGTCGGAAATTACGTTACAATTTTTACCGTTCAGAGCCAAAAGCTTATTACACACGGAGAAAAAAGAATCGGTCGAATTAGCGTGATAACGAACGAACGCGTTCCGATTCGTTCTGGAAATTGAGTTGTGATTTTCAGGAAAAAAAATTTAGCTCGTAGGAACGAGGAATTTTCCTTCCGTCGAGGAGATCGCGCGTTCGGGTTCGTTCATTCGGCCGATCCTTTCTTTTTTTTTCTCCGTGCCACCTATCGTAGACCTGGACGCACCTAACGTCGAGGAAGACGTAAAGGAGCGAAAGCAATTTTCGACCATCGCCCGGCGCGTCGTTCGTCCGGATAAAACGTTCGCGTCTACTTGACGTCTTTTTCTGCAACGTCGAATTCCTCTCCTCCTTACGAGCATTTCGCTTACGTCGCCATAATAATCATCGCCGTCGTCGTCGTTGCAGTAGTAGTTGTCGCTGCCGTCTGATAGGGCTCGTTGCCCCCTGCTGATGAAAGGTGAAACCGAGCGCAATTAGTAGCGCCTCCTTTCACGTCCCGCGGGGAAACATATTGCGACCCCTGAGCTCCTCGATTGGACCGTCGCATCGATTTTCATTGGTTCCCTCGTCCGATTCCCGCCGGCGGCCGCGGGACCACGAAAACGAGCACAGCTCTCCGGACTGGTATATAGACACGACGAAATTAGATATTATATACGACATATAATCCGAAGAATGAGGGGTAGGGGGGAAGGAGAAAGAAGAGACGAATCGGAGCGTCGGGTACATTCAATAGGTTTACCACAGAAGGATTTCGATCGATCGGAAGAACGGCTCCTCGATTTACCTTTATACGAATCACTCGCTCGCCGTGTCGCTCGCTCTCAATAGCTAGCGGGGTTAGCTGGCATTTAGATCTCTTTTCCCCTTCTCGGTAAATCCTTAATCCTGAGTAACGATCGTCCTTCGTTGAAACGACGCCAGCCGAGGTAACGACTTTCGGTAACACAACGCCAACTGTTGTAAAAACATAAGTAATACCAACCACACGCTCGACGAAAGACCGCTGGCGGTGGCGTGTTGCGCGCCATTTTTGCAACGCGCGAATTTCGAACAATTCGAGCGGCGCTCTCGAATTCCGTTACCGAACTCGTCGAGGATATATCATTGCGTTGTTGAGAGTTCCTCCTGTTTTCCGATCAAAATGCATATAAATACATACAGAGTGTCCGACGCAGGACCATCCGTCACATGCTTGTAGTTTAAATTAATATGAACAGAAAAGTATTTGCAAACAGCATGGAAAACTTCAGGTTTATTGATAATTGAAAATGGCCATGTATAGAAACTTCATTAATCAATAACTCGAAACTTGCGTGTTATTCGTAAAATGGTAAAGTACTTTTTTGTCTCGAGTGACTCAATCTGCAAGTATACGACAGCTGTTGTGCCCGACGATGGGTTCAAGAAAACCGTTTCTTTCCCCATTTTCCCGCGGACATTTTCTCCGGTCTCCCATCTTCTTTACGGAAGAACAAGTAAACAGTGTCTTGAATCTAAACAAGTAAACAGGTCTTGAATCGAATACGCGTGAATTTTTGTGCTCTTGAGACAGAAACCGAAGGAATGCGCGGAAAAAGTGGAGAAAAGGGCGAGGTTTTTCCGAAACTTTGAAACTACTTCATTCGATGACCCGCGGTCGTGGAAATTCCGGGATTTCTAAGCGAAGAACCGAACCGAGAGGGAAGAAAAACTTGAGAGGAACTTTTGCGTCTCGCCGAGATCGGAGGAGGGTCGCATCGGGGGAGATTCGTTAGGGCGGGAGGTCAAGGCTCACGTGCGAGCGATTGTTTCCCCTGATTGACCGTATTACTGGCCGGCCGGTGTTCCCCGATATGTGTCTAATGCTTAATTAACGGTTCCGTCAGGCCGGCGCTTCGCCGCTAGGGGGAGGGGGGGGGGAAGATTCGTTACGGTCAGGCGGAAATGGTTTGGCTGGTGCGACCGGTCGAGAGAGCCGTCGCACGAGAGGCGTGCTTGTATGTACGTTTCGCGTATGTGGCAATTAACGTCTCCAAGGCGCTGAACCGGCGCGGCATGCGCCATGAAAGTGGCATTCAAAGTAGCGGTGGTTGGCGCCAGCCGACTCTTTTCCTACCGCGCGCGGACATTCTTTATGGTCTGTGCCGTGGCCACATGCCGTAGATAGCCGAGAGCCGCGAGAGGCTCAATGGGGATCGACGATTGGCGATTGACTGCTTCTTTTTATTACAACGGCCGTCCCGAAGGAAAGAGACGCGCGCGCCGCGGTGTCTGTCCCGAATACAACCGACCGCGACGGTGAGTTAGGCGAAGGTTGAGGAGCCTCCTTCTCGCTCGTACGCGCAGTAGTCGTGCCTTCGCTGGCTTATCCTGAATTATGATTTTTAAAGCCCTCTTTCGCCCCCCCCCCTCTTCCCGCCCTTTACGGCTTCTTTCTTCCGCGAGGAGTCTCGTACACGTACGGAGGTGACGCGAGAGTCGTGTCGCGCGGAGTAAACTCCGTCGGAGTGCTTTTGTGCCGAGTAACCTCCCAGTCCCAGGTAACAGGAATTTCTATAAAGATTTCTCACAGACTGATAGACGGCTGGAAGACGCGGGGGGGGGGGGNGGGGTAGGTCGTTCCTTTAAGCGCATTTAAGTCTTAAAAGCGATTCTAACCTCCACCTGGACGATCGTCACAACACCGATCGATGTTTTACAGTTGATCTTATCGCAAACGTCAGATGACAAATGGAAGGATGGATCGCACCTCGATCGAATGATTTCGACGGATTCACGACGAGATTCACCGACATTCTGTTTCAGGCACGGACGTCGTGCAGGATCTGCCGGTGCAGCTGACGTCGGAGGAAGAGGAGCGCAACCTGAAACGTAAGGGAACGTCCTTGGCACATCCTTGAGAAATCGACGCGCGACTTTGAGAAACTCTCGATAGAACCGTCCGAGAAAATTGGTTAATTTTTGCACTACGAGTGTAAACCATTCATTCCCGAATAAGAATCCGTTGTTCAAGTTTGAACATCGCGTTACAATTTTGAGAAAAATCACCTGAATGAGGCGTGAAACGACGATTTTGAAGATTTTCACGATGCAGCACTGGCTGCGTTATTTTGTTTCTTTGTGATTGTCCTCTCGCGCGTTGCAGATTTCGGCACCCTCCTGACGGGCAGGACGTCGCAGTCCGTGCGTTCCGACGACCCGAACCCGACGTCGGTGTACAACAGCGCCTACAACTACTTGGCGACCGGTCGCTTCACCTTCCACCGCAAGAACCTCTATTACTCGTTCTACTTGTCCGCGTCAACGCCCCGGCCACGCAGCATACAGTTCGTCGATGGGTCCGGCAGCATCCTCGAGGAGCAGGCCATCGACCCGGTCGGCGGTGCTTACCAGAACGTCACCGGCAAGCTCTGCGGCGTGTGGAGGCGCGTGCCGCGCGATTATCGCAAATTGCTGCGCGAAGAGCGGCTCCACGTGTCCTTCCTGTGGGAGCCTTCAGCGATCTTGACCGGTCAGCTGTCACGGTACCGCGCCCTGTCCACTGAGCAGTACTCCTCTCTGCTGGAGCCGACGATGGGCGTCGACCGGTCCCTGATGTCCGGCGCCGGCGCGACCGCGATCGTGTCCGCATCGTCGGTCTCAGCGCCGTCGATCCACGTGTCCCTCGTGTTCAACGGCCTCTTCCTGCCGAACGACGTGGCGGAGGTGCCGTTGGTCGTCCAACTGGAACACCAGGAGAAGGACTACGTGGTGCTGCGCGAGGAAATGATCGTGAAGAAGCCGTCGAACGAGCTGAACTTCGGCGAGGTGCGCAGCGCGCTCTCCGGCGCCGATCTCCGGCTTCTCACCAGGGGCAAGCTGTCGATCAGCATCATGTCCCGGAAAGACCCGCAGGCTCTTCATCTGGCCGGTGCGGTCGGGCCACGCGCCACCTGCGACATGTACCAGACCCTGCTGTTGTCGGAGACGCCGTCCGTGGCCTCCGGACTTGCTTGGGTCTACTTGGACCGCATCGGAGCACTGCGCTACGGCGTCCAGTTGATCGGTCTCGAAGAGGAGAGTCCCCTGGTGACCTTGGTCGACGAAGGGGGTAAACGGAAGACGGAACTCGACGACCTGACGCCGTCGTTGGTCGGCGGTTTCGCGAACGGCTCCTTAGACCGGCCCGGCCCGAGGCTCCTGGAGCCGCTCTTCAAGGGAGAGCTCTCCGTCGTGGCCGCCAGCCAGGCTGGCTCCTTGTTGCGCGGTAGACTCTTGGAGAGACCCGTGGCCGACGCCAGGGACACCGCCGCGCCGGTGTTGTTGCGAAGACCAAACCGAGAGCCGACGCATCCCGGACCGGCCGGTCTGATCTGGACCGCGGTGGACTTGGACTGTTCCCTGCACTATGAGCTCGAGCTTGCCGGTTTTTCCTCCAACTCCCAGGAGCCACGGACTTTCCGGCTGTACTTGGAGACGATGCCACGGTTGGCCCAGGGCGCTCCGGTCGCCAGGAGGCTCCTCGAGGAATTCGGCGGCTACTCATTGGAGGGCTCAGTCACCGGGCTCTCGCCAATGGAGCTCTACAGAATCGACTCCGGCATCGGCTTCCTCGAGGTGACCGAGAAGCAGACCGGTCACGTACTCAAGGCTCCCTTCAAGGCCAGGGTGCCGTTCAGCTGCCTGCCCCACTACGCCGATAACGATGTCGCCTCCGTGGTAGCGTACAATCTGCAGCCGTCCAAGTCGGATTTCGAGACCGGCGCGTGCTTCCACGAGACCAGGTTCTACGAGGAGGGCCAGCAGTGGACGTCGAACACGGACCCTTGCTCTATGTGCCACTGCTTCCGCGGCTTGGCGCAATGCGACACGGTGCCGTGCCCGGCGCTCTCCTGCACGCCGGGGAAGCAGGCGAAACAGTCGGTAGCCGGCCATTGTTGCCCGATATGTGCGGGTGAGGAAACGATCTCATTTTTCTCCTCCCTCCCTCTCTCTCTCTCTCTCTCTCCGTCATTTTTACTAGAATTATTTTGTGTGTTTTATTAGACGAATTAAGGATATTTAATTGTCCAGACAGACAGGAAAGTGTCGAACATAATATGCAAACATTTAATATTTACTTTGTGATGCCATTGCAACAGTGCAACATGTTTAAAATACGCGTGTTTCAAGAAATACTTATTTATTACGTCATAATTTTATTCAAAGTATCGATTTCTTATTATTATAATAATCCCAGAGTAATTGCATTTTCTTTCGGGCGAAAGCAGCTGTATTTATAGTATCGGTATATATACGGCATCAGATGATTTTTTATGTGCAAAATACTTATTGTATGAAGACGCATCTTAATCTACTTGTGTTAGTCACAATGCAAACGATATATCGAAACGTGTCTATTTGGATAGAATTTAGTAAACATTAAATAAGAATTTAATAATTTAAGAGGAAAGTTAAATAAGATTCTTTTTTAATAATTTAAGAAGAATTAAGTAAAAATTTAATAACTTAATGGAAATTTAATGTAAAAATTTAATAAAGCTAAATTTGGAAATTCTGACGACCATGAAGGTCCTTTGACGGCTTCAAATCCTTTTGAAGACCTTCGATGGATCGCGCGTAAACGCGCCATCTTGTCCCGGTGTTTAATGTTTTTTTCCTTTTTAATAACACCTAGCTGTGGCGAATAACACGAAGAGCAACGCCATAAAAGGTTGCACGTTGGCTGGGCAGCATCACCTGGCAGGATCGTCCTGGCATCCGTATTTACCGCCGTCAGGATTCGACACCTGCGCGGTCTGCACGTGCGACGTAAGTATTTGCCTCGCCTCTTTTATCTCGCGGATCGCTAATGAACGAAATACACGTTTGCCTTGGAGAAGGAAGCTATCCAACGTCCGCATCTTCAGATTTCCAATAATAGAAGTATTCTAACGTTCAGCAAATCGCTCAAATTATCTCGCAAGATCGCCTGAACTGTTCCGGGAGTGCGCGTTATTTGATACCGCGTCAATGATATTTTTCTCCGTGCAAATGATATGTATATATATATATATGTATATATATATTTTTCCACGCGCGTAATTCAATCAACGTACATCAGCAGACACAGAGCGCGCATGTCGTTTTGTACGTTTACGAATTCCAAGGCTCCGGGGAGCGTAACGGGAGTCGAAAGAACTAGAAGAGTAGACGTTGGTTCTCTCTATCTCTCTCTCCCTCTCTCTCTCTCTCTCTCTCTCGCGAGCATTCGCGCGAGGCATAGACACGCTCTGATGGTGTGAGATAAATAAGAGCGACAATATGGTGTGTTGGTGCGCGCGTCGCCGCACGCGAGGCACACAGGAGGTCGGAGTCACCACCTCTCGCGTCGCGGAATTTACATCGGAAATCCATTTGTCTCGCAGGCTGTCACGTTGGAAGTAAAATGCCCGCGGGTGCAGTGCCCGCCGCTCCAGTGCAACGAGAAGATCGCCTTCAGGCCGGACAAGAAAGCCTGTTGCAAGCAGTGCCCGGCGGTAACACCTCACAACGTAGCCGCCACCGCCGCCGTTATAAACGACACTGCACACATGGCGCGGGATGAGGCCTTACCGTCCATACGGCGCACCGCGGAAGAGATCCTCGCTTCCGGAGGCTGCAAGTACCCCGTTGGCGGGCCCTACGAGAACGGCATGGAATGGCATCCTCGAGTGCACTCGCACGGGGAGATGAAGTGCGTCAAGTGCCGTTGCAAGGTAAGAATTCGGCGTTTCCGAACGGCGATCGGCGCGGCACCGAACCGATTTCGTCAAGTGTTCTCAGTGGGTATTCAGTCGCCGTCATGTATGCCGCATTGTTCTCTGATAGATCGTAAATTGCACGATTTTCGGTGCTTTATATGTATTGCACATGAGGTAAAAATCGTTATAATTAGAGCTATTAACTAAGTTAGTATCTCCGTTAATTGTATTATATTGTGTGTAATGCAAAAATTTGTTCCATTTTTTTTATCGGTTCTTCGCCCAAAAATACCAAAATTTCTACACTGCACAATCATTCAAAAAAAATATTGCGTCGGGTTATGTGTAAGGCCGAAAATTGCGTGATTTTTCATTCGGGGAATGATACAGCAGCATACATGACGCCGAGTGATCTTTGGACACGCGGAAACGAAAGTTTGGCTAAATTTACCCAACAATAAACAAACCAAACGCGTTTTGATTGAAGGATACGGAATTTCTGGTTCTTACGAACCAAGAATTTCGATCCTTATAACCAGAATTTTTACTTCCTCCAATCAATTCGTTGTAAACGTTGTGACAATTCGGGTAAATTCAGCCTTTCTTCCCTATGCGCTTATCCGTGACAAAACAAGGAAGTTTGACACGAAGTTCTCTCAGATTTATTTATTTTTTTCATAGTTCACGAAAATTTACAAACTATTTTTGTTAGAACATCTAGTAAATATGTTATACATCAATAATTTGTAAACAACAAAAAAAGCTGGACAAATAAGGGCCAAACAACGTTGTTAGTGCTCACTATTTATTTACAAGTCAATATTTAAATAATGGAACAACGAAGGTCAATTTTTATTAGCAATATAATATATATTGTCAATACATATTGTTAATAATTTGTTATTAATGAATTGTCTGTAAACGACTCAGTGTAATTCTCTGAGAGAGTGTCGGCAATCAGACTCATCAGAGTTACACCGGTGTCCTCTATTCCTGCTTTTCGAAAAGGCATGACGAGCGATTTCGAAACATCGTACATGCGACTTGATCCACATCGCGATTCTTGGTATCCTTCGCGTATATCATTCTCCGCTTTGTTGATATATTTTTCACATCGGTAACCGGAGCATTCGAAGAGCCGATGTATGAGAGAAATAGAGACACAGAGAGAGAGAGAGAGAGAGAGAGAGAGAGAGAGAGAGAGAGAGAGAGAGAGAAAGTCACGCGAGAAGTCGTCCAGAAAAAGGCTACTTATAAGAAAACGTTATTCCGCGGCTTCTTTATTACTCCAGGCATTGCCGATCGAAGTCTGTCTACGCGATGCGTCGTAAACATAGCGGTGTGTCTTGTTGCCAGGCAGAAGTCCTAGGACTTCGTTATTATTTTTCCTTTTTTCTTTTTCATTGTTCATTCATTCGTTAAGAGACGATGATCGCGCGCAGCCTTGCCTTGTCTCGCGATATCCAGTCACGGGCACGTCAAGAAACCTTTAAGGAGAAAACCTTTAATCGGACTCGTCGGCCTGGCCCGACCATTATAGGATCCATCCATTACGATGAAAATGGAACGCCGCGGCCTCGAGCCGGCTTGCGTCGCGTCGCGTCGCGTCGCGACGTCACGAGACGGCGCAAAAAATAATCGTCTCAATGGCGAGATGCGGATTTTGTATTCCGATGAACCTCTCTCTCCTCGTTGCATCATCCGACGCGCCATTCTCGCGCTCTCTGGCTATTGTTTGCCTATAGATAAGTATCGTCTCGCTAAATATATCGAGTACCTCTAGTTCTTTTTAGCTGCGTTATATTTATGGTTCTTCTGATTGAGAGAGAGAGAGAGAGAGAGAGAGAGGGACATGAGGACAATGAGAAGAGAAAACGATCGGAGATGATGCAGTTGAAAAGAATCGTCGATGACAGTAATTAAAGGGCTACTTGCGCACTTGAATGGCTCGGAAAACGGCCCGATATTTGAATCTTTCTGCTGACTATATTATCAACTTTGTGAAAATGTCTTTTTAAGGAACTTTTTCTTTATATATTTATTTATACGTCACGTGAAGTCCATTACAAAAAGTTGATATGTAACGCTATTATTACTACTTCCGTGAAACTCGTCGATTGTTAACCGGAACCTAAAATATTTCGGGAACTGCTGGACCGATTTTGCATGGATGTATATTCTTAGTAAGATTATCTAGTCTTTATCGTAGTCGATTTTTTAAATGTTAATCTTTGATAAAGTTATTATAACATTCGAAATCGAAAGTGCGATTTTTTGCCACAAAATTTCTCCTCTTTTCGTTTATGAAGCAAACAATTATGTTCGATATCAAGAACGCGCATACCTTAAGTGTTTGCATACTACATTCAGCATTTCTGTCTATCTGGGTTTCTTTCGTGTTTCACGCTTTAAGTAGATACGATTTCAATTGTCCGGACTCAAGGGGAAGTCCACCGAAAAATTGACCAATTTTTTTTAAATACGACTACACTTCGAATATGAGGTGAAGGATTTCTCTCCGAGGCCGCATTTATTATCGTATCTGCAGCTTTTTTCCGCAAATTAAGAGTATCGCATTCTCTCACGGACGAAAGGCGATATCAGTCAGCAGTCGCGCGATCAGCGAGACGGAAAGACCGAAAAAGCGAAATACCGTGCGCCACAGCACTTCGTACTTGACGCCTCGGTTTTACCGTCTTCTCGCGAGGAAAGGTCTCGGATACCTCGAGCCGAGCGAGTCACGTTGGAATTGTTCGCCGCACACGGTGAACGTACCAGCAATCGTAATGGGGTCCCTGCTTTCTGTGTGTTTCAGAACGGCGAGGTCAGGTGCGACAGGAAACGTTGTCCACGGTCGCTCTGTAACTCGATCGCGCATCAGATGAAGCGTGGCGAGTACGTGGCGGACGTCGATGACTGTTGCACGACGCAGTGTCGCCGCGCGAGGCGTCATCACCGCAACAACCATCATCCGGCGTCGCGGCACACCGTGACGCCACGCGAGTTGAGCTGAGTCCGGTCATCCTGCAAAAATCGTTCGCTCCGGCCCACGAAGAAGCTCGCGCGAGCACCGTAGTCATCGTCTGGCCGAGAGAGAAAAAGGGAGAGAGAAAGAGAGAGAGAAAGGAAGGGAGAGGGGGGAGAGAACTGGTCGTTCTTCGTTGTAGGAGCAGCGCGTCGCCATATCCGCGCGTGTCGCGCGCGAGATCGAACGAGCCGGGCAGCCTTCGAAGTGGCGGCGAAACGACGAAAAATGAAGTCAATATCGAACGAACGGCTGTAACACCTCTGTGCGTGTGTGTGTCGGGGGAGATCATGGCAGCTAGGTTACTGTAGATCCGCTAAGCCGACCCTGTCGTTTAACCCTTTCGCTGTGGCGCAGCGCGCCTCGCTTCGAGAAACGCACACCGGCTTTCGAAACGGCTTCCGAACACTTTTTCTCGATACAGTTCGCGGAGCGCAGCCCCGATGATCCAATGAGACAACTTGATTTCTGGGAGTTAATTAAAAACAAGTTTTCCCATTCGACGACAGGTTTAACTTCTGGGAATCAATCAACTGCGAGTTCTCTCATTGGATGATAGGCTTAACTTCTGGGAGTCAATCAGAAACAAGTTTTCTCATACGATAACAGGCTCAGGCATTTAGGGGTTAATCAACAACTCGAGTTCTCTCATTGGATGACGACAACTTCTGAGAGTCAATGGAAAAAAAAAATACAAGTTCTCTCGTTGGATGGCAGACTTAATTTCCGGGAATAACCGAAATCAAGTTCTCTCGTTCGATGACAGATTCAATTTCTGGATATTGATCGATAAGTTCTCTCATTGGATGATAGAGTTGTTGAGAATCAGTCAAAGAATGTTCTCTCATTGGCTGCGTTCCAAACTGTATCGAAAAAGAAGCGTTTAAATTGTCTTCAATAGTAACATACACTCGCGCGAGCGGAAGTTCTGTTCTTCACAGCTGCACTTTCTGACCGAGTCTTCCCATTTTCTTCTCTCCTCCGCCGAGCGTCAGATACGCGTATCTATTTCACTTTCAGCGCGACTCGGTGCAGCCACGAAGAGCAGACCTGAAGTTTGCGTCTGTCACTTTGTCGCGCAATAATCTAACGAACCTGTCTCACGACGATCGTGTTTTCGTCGTTACGGTAACGGACAAGCCGGCAAACGTTGTTCTTGTGCTGCAATGTAACATCTTGACAACGGACTGTCTGTATTCGCGCGCGTTCTAAGCGCGACCGTTCGCACACAGGGATGGGTTCGCGGGCGGCCACCGGGGCCTTTCGTAGCGAAAGAGTTAAAAAGACGGACGACGAGGCGCGAGGGAGAATCGATGACCGTGAGGTCAGTTCGACACAGTTTGCCGCATTTCACTGATGAATGGAGAGGAGTAGGACACGAGGACAACACAGTCGGAGACAGAGTGTGTGTTCGACGACGACAACGACGAGATTGGTCATTCTAACGACAATCGGATCGCGTTCGTTGCTCAAAGTTCGATGCCGGCTAAAGTCAGCGAACATTTACGCATGCGCGTGCAGGAAGCTGAGAGAAAGAGAGAGAGAGAGAGAGAGAACGCTAGTGTAATAAGAGGAAGGACGTGGACGGTACACCATCCGATGCTATTCTTATCCCCCACGACCGCTCGGTCGTTCGCTCTTAGACGGAGAGAGGAAGAGAGAGAGAGAGAGAGAGAGAGAGAGAGACTCCAGCACCCGCAGCCAGACGCTTATTAGTCAATTGATCCTCATCAACGGACAAACGGAACGGAAACCGGGCGCCCTTCCACTCTGTTTTTCGCAACAGTGACACACGTTACGTTAACGGAATGCCGATGCTGCGAGAACGAAGGGTGAAAACTCGGAGCGCAGAAACGAGTTTTTAGTCGTGGCGGTATCACAGTGCCCTACTATACCCACTAATCTCTTCGAGTTACCCAGCAACCAAAGAAGACTGAAGAACCTCCGAAGAAGGCGATATCAGTTATTACGCACGATTGCTAATGATCTACTAATAACTCCAACTTATTATAATTATTATTTTATTTTCTCACACACACACATATACACACACACAAAATCATTTGTATTAATAGTATTATTATAACTGCTCTATTAGATCTCTAGTACGATTAATGTCGTTATTATAATTGGTTATCATCGCTATTGCCACGTCACTCTTATTATCCTCCCCATAGCGATTGTTACGGTTAATCTAATTATTATTCGTCGGTAAAATATAGTATATTTACGTTTCTACGTGTCTAATGTCTGCGTGACCCCTTCAACAATATAGCAACGTTGTTATTCTATCGATCGAATAAGCAGCAATATTCGTTAGCGATAGATATATTCTCTCTTTTTTTATGATATATAAATCTCGTATTTATTATTAGGAGTATCTTTTCTATCTGTTCGAAAATCTCGATAAGTGAATTAATTTTTCATAACGATTCGGTTCCCTGATGATTCGGGAATGTAATTGATAACGTAATAACACTGGGCGATATGGATGATATCCTGGGAATCGTGTATATTCACTTGATTGTAGATCTTTTTATAAACTTGAAACTTGCCTTTCTTCTTTTTCTTTTATCAAAATTATCGAAAGCTATCACCTAGGATGAAATTCACGAAATTCTTAGAAACTGGTACAGAAGATTTGCCATATACTTATCTAATTATATTTCTCGTTTATACACACACACACACACACACACACACACACACACACACATATATATATATCGCTATTCTGATATAAGTTTTAGAAGTATACGAAAGCGAAACTTGACAATAAGCTATAATCCCGGCTGTTTCTCCATTTTTTATATTATATTAATTGTAATCCTCCGTCTCGCACATATCACTGTTCTGAGTTTTATAAACTTTATCGGCGAGATTTATCGGGCAGCGTGCCCGAGACGAGAATAGAAACGCTAATAGAAATCTAGAGGCCACTAACTGGCGAAAAAACTTGCACAGCTTTCGATACCTCCGCCTCACAATCTTTTTTTAAACCTTTAAGAGACACTTTGTAAAGGTCGTTGCGTTTGATTCGGAACAATGGAACACCGAACGTCCATATATGCCTTAACATTAACTCAACGTTATCTTGTTCTCGACGTAATGTGTTTCATATGAAGGAAGTTGATTCTCCGTGTACCATAAGTGCCTTATATCGTACCGAATATGCATCGTAGTCAGTGATGTTTAACGTTGAATATGCGAGCTGTATATAAAACGTGTATAATTAAGCAGTCGAAATCGATCTTACTCTAGCAACATTGCGTTAATTACTGTAGTACGATATTTATATATTACGCATATATACAGGGTGTTCTCAAGAGTATCATACTATACTTAAACTGTTCTGAAGTTCAATTAGAATTAATGCTTTACAAACCCACACATCATAGATGTCTTATAGACATCTCTTATGAAACATTTTTCGGAGCATGTGTAATTGTCCACATTACCGATCAAGTATCGGTGGAAACTAGCTAGGATGATGATCATATCCAGCAACATACGCTTTATGTTTTAAAGTTTAAACTTTAGATTTTAAAACAGATATCGCTGGATGCCATTATCCGCCATTTCCGCTAAAAATCATCGATATTTTATTCTAACTCGAAACAAGGCGGATGGACAAATTTTCAATCTAATCATAATTCTCGACTAATTGCAACACGATAAAGGATAATAAATAAAACGTCCTTTCCTTTCTAACACATTCAAACAATCCTAAAAATTTATAATTACATTCACATATAAATGTTTCAAAGCAATTTTAAATATAATATTTTCGATGCCTTAAAACAATCTCAAGAAAATCTTAAATTGGGGAAACGTGTTAAAGTCATTTTGATAGTTTTATAAAATATCTCTGGAATTTTATAACGTCTTTAGGACGTTATAATGTTGTGTGTGCGAGAAGCTTCGCGGAAAAAGATAATTCAGAACTTTCGGACTGCGAAATTTTCACGAAGAACAACGCGTTGTATGCATGGCGCGCACAAATTGGTTACACCCTGTATAGAAAGTGGGAAGCTAACTCTGCCCACACTTGAAACAAAAAAATTACTATTTTCTCTACTATTTTAAGTGATACAGAGAAGGAAAAATCGAAACCATACACAGAGAATCTTACGGTTTCGAGGAGCGTATGTTGTACGGTGGCAATAATTTCGTCGTGGATGGAGGCCGTGTGAAGGTCAACCTGAATTTTCATACTGAAGCATAGTTTCCTAAATACTTACGTTTGTAGCCCTTCTCATGATGAGTACGAAGGTCCATGACTCAAGATCACTGAAGATTGAATGATGACCGAACGTGCGTGTGAACTCATATCTTGACGCAACATTAGGTAGACCTCAAGCTCACGCTCGATCACTTGACCTTCGGTGACATAGAGTCACAGGTTGCGTGCGTGCATGCTTTCAGTGCCATTCTAAATCCCCGCGCATGTTATTGTTTACTGTCGATTATTATTATTATTATTATTATTATTATTATCGTCATGATTATTTAAAGTCATCCGCATGTGTAAGTGATCGGTCTTATTTAGACGGGCGAGTTAACATTAACTATTTAATTAAGCAGCATGCTCTTATTCCGACATGCTTCATGTATATATATATATATATATATNCTTTCATTTAATAAGGTTTATCGGCGTACTGTACGTACTATACCGATTATCGGTGCGGTCCTCCGTGACGCTTACATGTACATGGAATAGAAATTCGTATAGTTTCGAAGGCTCCGAAAAGAATCACTTTCCCATTTTTCCGCAGATTTTTTCAGTTTCTTACCTTCTTCACGGCAAAGAAAATAAATATGGCGGATTTTAACCGAATACATGTGAATTTTTACAAATGAATTTTTCTACCCTTGCGACAGAAACCGAAGGAATCCGTAGAAAATGGGGAAAAAACCTGAACCTTCAAAACTATAGAAATTCGAAGGCTTTAGGCTTAGTGTTTATATCGGCTTAAACTGACCGGGATAGCTAACGTAAAAAGATGTAAAGGGATGAGAGCAGTGTATATGCAATTTTACATCGCATGAAAGGAAGAGTCGCCATCGTTATCCAGCGTGACGGACAATTGAAAAGAAAAGAACAAGGAGAGGAAAGAGAGAAACGGCGAAAAGTGAACATTGCTCGAGATGTTCGTTGCAGCGAATTATAATTTGCCGAGTCGCGCTAAAGTACAGTTCCGTCAATTCGTCGCGAGATGATCACGAGTTTACAAAGTGTGCTGTTACGGTGCTGCAATGCGACGTCGTATACACATATATATATACACATTCACACACACACACACACACACACACACACACACACACACACAACGCCATGATCTTGAATAAATCTCTTTTGTATTTCTACTCCTTCGTCGAGAGAAGCGTGTGACACGCGCACTTTGATAGTTTTTCTGTAGAGAACGGAAATCGATGCTATTCTGTACTGTGCCAAAACAATTTATTAATTAAAAAATTATTATTGTTATTATTATTATTACGATTATTATTGTCTATTAAACGGTCTTCTCCCTACGATGTTCTAAATCACTCGATGGATTGTAACCACATTCAACTTCAATGCGTACTAATCATTAAACCTCCGATAGTCTCCATATCTTTCACCCATAAATGGTTGCCTGCATAAATATATCTCATAGATACACTAACTTTCCCGTTATTTCCCTCTGCTTCTTGAAACAAATTTTCTTTCATTAGCACTTGAATAATAAATCAAGCACTAAAACATACGTGAAAAATTGAAGAAAAAATTGATAAGTATTAGAATTGATGAGTATTAGAATGGTATTTAATGGATATCGCGACTAACGAAGCGTTAATAATAAGATCGCAATAATGATTCCGTTACATCTTGGGTTTAAGGGCGTGTTTCAGTCCGTCGTCGAGAGCGTTTAGCACAAGGTCGACGGTACGGGGTCGCGCGTTGACCCCCATCAGTCCGACACGCAGAATTTTACCGACTGTTGGTCCCAGACCGCCGCTGATCTCGACTTTGTACCTGAAAGCGATCCGAGAATCTTCTCTAACGAAACTGGCAATTTCAAAGGGTAGGACGAGGAAAAAGACAACTGCGAAGAAGAGAACTCACCGTTTCATGGCTCGCGCTGCCACGATCTTGTCGTCGATCCCGTCTGGCAATTTTATCGAGATGAGAGTCGACAGTTGATAGCGCGGATTTTCGACGTAGCACCGCAGACCGCGCGACCGAAGGCCTCGCTTGAATCTAACAGCCGCCGCCGCGTGTCTGGTCCAAGAAGCGTACAGTCCTTCCTCGGCGAGCTGCGTCAGTGCCATTCTCAAGCCGTACACCAGCGTGGCGCTTATTGTGTGATGATACACGCGTTCCCCGCCGAAACAGTTCCAATAGTCCCCGAGTATTCTCATGTCCCAGTAGAAAGCGGACGGCTTCGTCTTCCTCCCGAATAGCTTGCTCCTGTGGTATGACAATGCGTTACTCAGTTATCACAGACTTCTATAAAGAATGACTAGACCGGTATTTATAATCCAGCGCCACCATCCAGTCACTTAAGCCACCTTTTGTCATGCTTTTCCTGACAAGTCGTTAGAAAAATTCATTGTCGTCCAAAATGGGTCATTTTTTTCCTCAACTGCCGTTAGATTTGTAAAATATAGGCGTTCTACATAGAGAGCGTCCCGGATCAAGAGAGACAAACTTCGCAAGGGCTTAAATGGTCTTAGTTACTCTCAGGATTTGATAAGAAATATGTCCCTTTTGATGCCTGAGAGGTCACTTTGTCACCTTTCTTCCAAGAAGCAGTTACGATTTATTTTTTGCTTCGGTGACTGGATGGCAGCGCTGATAGTCGGATTTTATAATGAAGATCTTCAGTTCATCTTTTGATGCTATTATAGGTCATTTCATTGGTTACAAAGCATTTAAATATGAACTTAAGACGATCTTAAATGTAAAATCTGACTATAAATATCAACCCTAAATTGATGAAATAGCTATGGAAGTATAATTGACAAACTAACGACAGGTAAAAATTGTGATGGAAATAGCGATCATAATTCGAAGAGACAAATATACCGAATTTTCAGTTCTCTGCTGATCATTATCAAAGTATGGAACTAACAATTAATTAATTAACACGTGAAATTCTGATTCCAGCTCAAACAGACTGAAGTTCAGATTTCAAGAAGTGGGAGTTACGAAGCTTCCTGCGGCTTACGTAAAATCCTTCGTTCTTAAGATACAGACTCGGTGGGAGGCACAAAGTTACGGAAGAAAGCTCTTCGATTCTGGGTCGACCAGAGTGCAAAATGTCATCGTTCAAGAATTCCCTCTGAGCTTTCGACGCGCATGTATATGATATGATTCACCTGGGAACCGAATAGGCGACCACCTCTGACAGACCGCAATGATGACTCACGAATTCGATTGACATTCTGTACATATATCTGATAGTCCATTCTCGGCCGCGGCTTTCTCACGAGTAGCCGCGCGTCCGAATGACCGAAGATATACACTCTTGTGGGGAATCTCGCTCGGTATCGATTATACGCACTCTGCGCGCGGGCTGAAGGAAACGGGCGTTATTCCTGGAGGAGCACCGAGGACCTTCTGGCTGCCGGTGTAAACCGCGTCCACTTGCCAGGCGTCCATGAAAAACGGCTCTCCGCCCAACGACCCCACGGTGTCGACGATCAACAGAGCATCGTACCTACACGGAAAAAAAGCAATTTCACAATTAGTGTAACTGAATTTCCCGCTGAGTTTCTTTCTCAAGATTTTTCCCCGTGTACTCGTCGATAATAAGTGAGAGGAGGAATTGAATTTTTCCATTCTATCGTAAGTATACATACACACACACACGGAAAAAGCAATTCCGTTAGTGTCACTGAATTTTTCGTCGCCTGGGGACCGAACGAAAATTCGATTAAGAACAGGAATCGTAAGAACAGAAGGATTCCTGTGGGGAGGGTTTCTACTCGATCAATTGTTTTCAGTTGTCTCAGTCAAATTGTTTTGGTAAACGCCAACTATCAGTGACGTAAGACGCAATAACAGAGATATCATTTCTTGTCACTAACTTGTCATTAAGTTTTTATCTGATCTCTGTGCAATTGCAGGAACTGAGATTTTGTTCGTGTACTCACACGCACATATTACAAAGCATATATTACTTATGAACGAGTGCACCGACATCCTCCAGAGGCTGCTTCATACCCGTCGACGATTCCGCATGAGTGACAAACATGACTGCCGGCCGATATTTCTTCAGAGCCTCCTCCAAGTCGTCCAATTCAAAAGCTACACCGTATTCAGTCTCCAGAAATTCCACCTGAAATGTCAATTCTTAGAATGAGAAGAACGAGTCAGTTACTTTTATGTTCTATGACTTCTGTTCCTTTTTTTCTTCATAAAATCAGAGTTGTAAAAGCTAATAGAAATTTTTTATTAATTTGATAATCGTCTAATATCTTTTCCACATACTTTCGCACCGATACGATCGGCCATGTCTGCCGCGCGTTCTCCCCAAAAGCCGCATTTGGCGATCAGTACGGTGTCGCCGGATTCAAGCAAATTTCCCAAACAAGCCTCCATCCCGCCATGACCGGATGTGCTCAATGCCAGGGTGAGTCGGTTCCTGGTTTGAAACGCATACTGTAATCCCGCTTTGATGTCGTCCATCAACTGCGAAAGGAAACTTTTACCACTTTTAATCGATCGGTCGATTAATGCAAATCATTATAAGAAATTATTACACCCCAGTAAACACCAGCAAGTATCGGTAACATAACATTGATACTTAATGTCCAACACGATAATATAACTATTACATAACACATATATTATGTAACAATTAAATATCGATATTATGTTACTGACATTTGATGTTTACTGAAACGTAATTTCAAGTTTGTACATATGTATGTATGTTTGTATGTATAGTGTGGTCCTCCGATTAATTATTCTCAAGGAAAGCATCGTCGTGTTCTATTTATTTCAAAAATCATTTTTTACAGAGAGTGAATCGTTGCGGTGAAATTGGAAACAAGAATATACGATAGAATTTTATGCAGGGAGCTTATCGTTAGCAAGTATTATATTCGCTATACCAATAAAACGAAAGCATGATATAGCTTTTAGAAGAAAAAAATTATTACTGACCGTGATAAATTGGCCAGTGATAAATTACTGCAGCTGAGTAGTTTTATTACTCGTGCTAATAATAAAACTACTGAACTGCAGTAATTTATCACTGGCCAATTTATCATAGCTAGTAATACTTTTTTGCAAGAGACCCCGGCGGAAATATTGCACAGCAATATCCCGGCACAAAACTTGTGGTTTCTCCAATAACCGTCATATATTATCAAATATATTGCCGATAATATATCATCAAATATATTATCGATATCCTAAGGAGAGCGGAAGATCATGGTAAAATCAAAATGATGTTAGAATGATGAATTATGATTGGAAAGTGAGTCCTTATAGTCATTTTTTTCGTGATTTTAACGTCATTGTAATGCCCTCTTCTGCCTGGGATGATACTATTTACAATGAATAAAAAAGAATATATCTATGAACGGTCCGTTATTTTTTCAAAACCTCGCGCAGACGAGAAAACTCCCAGACAGCACGAAACATTTTGAAATCGTTCTAGATGTACTCAGTACACCCCGGACATATTCTGGACTGTTTTGGGACATTTGTGCTGTCTGAGATTTTCTTTGTCCGCGCAACACTGTTGGAAGAGGGATACATTTTTGTTTTTTTTATCCGCTAAGTAGCATTATATCGGTAATATATTTGATGATACACGACGGTTAGTGAAAAAAACCACAAAGTGCCGAAGCGAGTCACGGAAATACCTGGCATATCTCGGGGTGAAGGTGACCAAGCACTTGCCGGCCGAGGACATCGAGGACTCGATTCGAACAGTTACTGGGGCCAGGACCCGTCAAAGTTTTTTCCAACGGTGAAAATGGCCGCAGAATCTCCTTCGGCGGACGCTCGAACACTGCGTATCGTCGCCAGATGCGATTCGAATCTCCCGACATATTCTCGTCTCACGAAGAACTTCTGTACTCTCACTGCGGAGGAAGATACAGCTCGGAACACGTCTGGCGTTCGACTGTAAAGTAAACGCAATCGCAGCGAAGACTCTGCATCATTGAGATAAAGAGTTCTCATTATCTCTTGATCTTCTCCTTCGACCGTCAAGCGATAGATTTAATTACGGATTTCGTTTCAAATTATTTCGCGCATGATTCGCACAGTTACAAAACAGACGCACCGAGATAACACACGCACGTATCGAGATATTATAACAGAGACAGAGAGGCCTGGTAAACACCAACCATCAATAACGTAACATTAATGTTATCATTTTCCACTCGGCGATGTAACTGTTACATAACATGTGCGTTATATTGCATTTGCATATGTCAAGTGAGAAATTACGACATTGACATATGTTCTTGTCGGTTGGTGTTTACCGGGAGATAACAGATGATTTAATCTATCCAATTTTTCGTGTTTGCGAAATGTCGGAGACCAGAAAATGAACAGAAAATGACGATGGCGTCAAATTGATATAAAAATGACTATAAAACTCATTTTTCAATTATTTTTTATCATTTTGACGTTATTTTCATGCCGTCATTGTCCGTTCTACTTAAAAGACACGAATCACTCGTTCACGTGTTCTGTTATGTGTTCGCGAAATTGATTCACTTGCGTGTTATGTAGCGCGGAAATCCTCGTTTTCAAATTCTATCCGTGACCCAGACAGCACAAAATCTAAAATCAGGACATAAGACATCTTAAAGATTGCTATCTTGATAATGTTATTTCCCAGTAAACACTAACAATAACATTATAATCAACATAATAATTTCTCACTCAACAATATATATAACATGCACTGTATATAACAATTATATTGTTGAGTGCAAAATTATAACATCGTTGTAATGTTGCTGATAATTGATGTTTACTGGATTACAATTCCGCTCATTTGTATTTAATAGCAGGACAATTTCGGCAATGATGGGAGCTTCTTTTCGATCTGTAGACGCAGCACAAGCCAAACACGTTCGATCATTGCGAAATCCGAACGAAATGCGACGCGGCGTATCGAGCGATAACAGCCCGATTACGTCCGAAATGCAACAAGCATTACGTCACCGTTGATACAGACATATCTGGATCGGTATCAGATGCCTTTGTGCGCGATTGTAGCTGGCACGCTCTGTAGACATGCGAAAATAACGAAAACAATATTCTTCAGAGGCAAGAACGGAAAAAGTTGAAATGAAAATTCGAATATCGAGAGCTCGAAGCCGCGGGATACGACTGAATTTCGCCGGAAGACGGGATCGAAGGGTGTCGAAGGGATCGAGTACGGGGAGGAAGCGCAGCTAAAAAGAACAGACTTCAGGTTGGAGCGCAGCGTCGTGGCGCCATCTAAGAAGCAACACGGTGCGAGCGCGCGCGCACCTAAAGGATCGCGGTGTCGTTGCTCCCTCTCTCTCTCTCCCTTCCTATCACTCTTTCTCTCTTCCTCCGCTATTCGCACTTACACATTCCCAGTGCGGAGAGGGTCAGCCGGGACCGGTACTACGGATGGGCACGAGACGCGGTCTAGTCGAGTCCGGAGACCGGCGGCAGCCTCATACGGCTTCGCGACGGAACGCTTTACGTGCTTTACGAAGCTGCTGCGAAAGGTGATACGCACAAGTTGTTTTGTTTTTTTCGAAAGGAAAGCGCATTTCGTGGTCCGGGGGTGCGCGTGCCGCGATCGGCTCGCGCGGATCATCGTCATCCTCCGGTTGCCCTGTCGTCGTGGATCGTCTACTCGGACATACGACGCCTCGCTTCTTCCTCTTTGTTTCTCTCGTTATCCCGTCGATCGAGCACGTCGTCGGTGCTCGGGACTTACCGACTGGGGGAGATCGATCGGAAGTTCGATCCTTCGGGGCCCAGATCGGAGACGCGGTACACGCGTGCGCGATCGGCACGTACGTACGTTCACCGTGTACGCGGAATGCACGCACAGTGATATAATGTTGCGTCCGTTTGTTTTGCATTCCCCGGCGCTTTTTGCCCGCGAAGCGAGGCAGACCTGCGCGCTCGAGGGCGGAAGAGCGAGAAGAGCCGAGTGGTGCGGAAGGTGCGGCTGAGACAAACGTGTGTGTGTGTGTATGCATGTGTATCTATTGTGATCGCGTGAAAAGCGGCGGTCGCGCAGCGTTCGGGACGTTTTGTGCCGTCGTCGTCGCTCTCCTCTCCTCTCCCCACGATCTTTCGTCCCTTCTCTTCGCCTCCCTCCGCCCCCTCTTTCTCCTCTTCCTTCTCTCTTTCTTTCTTTCTCTCTCTCTCTCTCCTCCTCCTCCTCCTTCTCCCTCTCTCCCCCCGCGGCTTTTCTCGGTCGACCGGTCGACTGGCTTCTCAAGGGGGCGTGCTTGCTCACATACAACAATGAGCGAACGCGAAACTATCTAAGCACGAGGCACAAACGAATCGTTCCTGTGGCTCGTGTGTGGCCCGGCCGGCCACTTCGCGCGCCGTCTTCGCCGCCAATCGAATCCCAGCCTTTCTCTGTGTCTTCTGTCGGCGACTCCGGAGAATAAGGCGACAGCCCGCTTTTGCGCTGCCGCAGAAAGAGAGAGCGAGAACACTCGGACGCGCGCGATATCGCGCAGGATCGTGTTTCGTCGTTCCGTGGTGCGTGCTCGCCTCACCTACTATAGGTAATTCCGTTTAATTATCAGCAGACCTGAACGCGCGCCCTTGACGCCCCGCGATCGCGACTCGCCGTGATCAATTGACCGAGACGAATCGATGTACATTATGTGTGTATGTATTTATATATGTATTTTTCCGCTTAAAATGTAATCTCCGAGCCGAGGTAGTGTTCTTTTATCAGTAGAAAGTAATGAAGAGCCTTGCGCACGGTGAAAAATCAAAGACTTTTCCAGTTGGCGAAGCTTAATGGTGAGAAAATTTACACAGTTCGATCCCACAGAGATATGCAAATGGGAACTCGTGATAATAACCGTTAATAATCGACGGTTCAGTCACAGTGTATATATTATATACTCGGAAGCGGGAAAAATTTTTGACGCTTCTAAACGCGTCCGATGTTCAATGAGAAAATTTACACGCTTCCGAGTATATATTGAAGAAACGGTAAATATTAATTCAAGTTGTAAAAGAGACGAAAGTTTCGCGTCGCAAAGTCGCGAAGGAATCACGTCGAGTCTAGATATCCTGGAGTTAAACGGATATTCAACCGTGCTATTCATCCAGTTTCGCGCTCTTAATCACTTATCTCCCATTATAATTGCTCGCGCTGCAAAAGGGTAAAGACGATTGCCCCGTAATGCGCGAGAAGTGGATCTTCCTCAGCTGACGCACTGAGTTTCGCCATCACTCCGCGAGTTCCATCGCGAATTGTTTTCGCGAACAATTAACGTATTTGGAAATCTGTATCTTGAAAGAGAAAGAGCCAACGCTCGTTTCTTCGGTTTATAGGAATATTTGAATTTGTAAACATTACGAAATGTGTGCGTGACACACACACACACACACACGCACACACACTGTGTTCGTCACATTGATCAACTATTTCAGTAATTTAAGAGCAGAGATTTAATTTATGTGAACTTCAAGCTCGGGAGATTTCTCAAGATGTCGAAGTATTAAGGATTTGAAAAACTGTTTTCGACAATCGAAGGAATATTCTTTCAATTCTTTTTATTTCAAACTGTAAAATGTAACAGTGCATTGCCGTATCGGTAACAATGTATATGCCGCAGTGATCTTATTATTAATAATAATTACTATTAACAATAATTTATTATTGTGAATACTTACTATCCATAATTATTATTAATAATAATAATTATATAAATAATTTCATTATATATTAATTTCGGCTACTCGGGGTCTCTCTTGATCATCCGAGTGTTTGGTTATTTATTCTCATTATGGTTTCTTTTTACTTATATTTTCCAAGTCTACTATGCACGATTAGTCGAATTTCACCAAGCGCGATCGTTCACAATGGAACTCGCCCACACCTGCATCCTTTTCGAGCGAGATATAGTCACGAGCGCGCTTATCGTGCCGCTTTTACGCGGACCCCGCTTCCTTCCTGCACTTTTCCGTTCGAACGATAAACACGGAGCACTTCCACCGTCGCCGCGAAGATGAATATTTCGTAACACCTCATCCGGGACGCGTTACGGCCCGAAATAACACCGTATAATTTTGGGATGGGACTCGAGAACGACGCGCGCCTTTATCGTCCTCCAACATCGTTCATTGTGGCGCGTCGGCTGCAGCCGGGACGCGTAACGCGAATGATAACGATTGCCTTCTTTATTTGTCGCAGAACAATCCGATGAAGTACGGAGGCGAGGAATAGACACATTGGCACATAGTTAAACCGAGCTTCTCAAACGATGTACCATGGCTTCGTCTTTAGGGGGGCCAGGAATGACATCGGGCGTCCCGTCGCCGCGAATAGTCAACCTGGAATTTCCCCCACCTCCTCCTTACCCACCTCCTCAGGTAAGTCGCGGGGACGAAGTCGTTAATTGCCTCGTTGCCGATAACGCACGCTCCCTCTTGGCTGCTCGCTTGGATGCTTTCTCGAGCTTTCAAGCGCGATCCCTCGACGAGAATTTCCCTCGTTTTTGGCAACGTCGTTTCGTTATTGACTTGAATCCCGCGATGGTCATTGGTGACCGACACTGATATGATACTGCACTTGTATTATTCACAGAAAAATATATACTGCGTTCAAGTAAATACTGTCTTAAATATTTCACACAAGTTTATATATACTCGCAAGTACATTCATAGGTTCATGTCATAAACATACAATTTATTCAGAATGTATTTTGAATCCTAGTAAGTTTAGTATTTCAATCAAAAATATTAAATTAATAAACAGAAACTTCGGCTTATTCATATTAACCGAATATCAACCGAATTTAACTTTTCTTCGATAAAGTTTATAATATTCTTGAAGAGGAGCAAATTTTTCTTTTGAATAAATAATAACGAACTTTTCTAATATTTGATGAATGAATATATTTTAATATTAACATAATATTCTAATATTTATATAATATTCTAATATTTGATGAATGAATATATTTTAATATTATTATTAAGAATATTTTTTTGTTCAAGATAACCATCAAGAAGAAAGGAAGAAAAATAAACTGAGTAATTCTCCGCAGTACAATAATATTTTTCTTTGCATGTAGTGTCTTGTTAAATTGCGTATAAAATATAATTAATCGCATTATCTATAAAATAGGAAGTAAGAAATATATATATATATATATATATATCCTGAGTAGTATCTATTTACCGTGCATTTGTAATAATTTATTAAATTGGACAAGGCAATTAAGAGCCAGCGCTGGTAATTGCAAGATAAAAGTAATTTAACTTACCAAGTTAATGAATCTTAGAGAAAGTACAAAAGTTTCAGTCGTAGATTCCGACCTTCCTCGGTGAAGACCACTGACTGACGAATATTTATTTAGTGATTTAGTTAGATGTTAATCGATGGAAATCAGCGCGGAACTCAACGTGTTAAGTTACATATAATGAATAATTAATCGCATTCAAATCGTTTGTACAGTCAATAAGATCCGATGAAACAAAGTAAACGATATATATATATATATACATATGCATGTATGAATGTATCTCAGATTATATTTGCATACTGCACTTTCAGTACATCAATCATCAGTTAGGCTTTTACATAACCGATGAAAGTCAACCCGGCAATCAACGTGTTGACGATGACTGAGGATTGTTCTTCCCGCGACTATGTCGGAATCTCGGTTTTTTTCCGCAGAGGTCACGCACCACGTTGATGGAACCAATGTCGCCGGTGGTATCGCCAATCACGAACCCTCACCAACATCATCCTCTTCTGGATTACTCGTACGCTTATTATCAGCCTGACGCCGGTCATTTTCATGCCGCGTATTCGACGGAGGTACTCTCGCAGCAGCAGCAGCAGCAACAACAACAACAACAACAGCAGCAGCACCAACAACAACAGCAGCAGCAGCAGTTACAACGACAACCGCAACAACAGTCGCAGCAAATCAGATCCGATCCTTTGAAGAGGCACACTTACACAACCTGTTACGGCACGGAGGAAAACATTTACGAGGAAATATCGGAAATCAGGTGAGTGTTCTATTATCGAGTTCACCTGCGCGAACGAAGGAGGAGTTACGAGACAATTAATCAACGTTAATTGATCAACGCGCTGTGAGATATTTGCAATTAGAAACTGAACTAACAAGAGAAAGCCGAATTATACTTCCGTTTCGAGCTTTGCCGAAAATGCGCGTTGAATCGTCATCGTTATTATGAAGTTTCCAGCGCTAATGTATGCGAGAGCGTGGAGAGCGGTATAAATGAGCAACAATTCAGCAATCGCGTTCCCCACAGTTCAATGCATCTTGCAGCGGATGTCGGAGATAACGATTAAGTTGGGAACAATAAGAAAACAAGTCACGGATTATTCATCCAACGTCCTCGGCTGTGCCGCGCACAAGTCAGTGAGACGAGATAACTCTCGTGTGCGCGCGCGCGCTCGGATCGATCGCGTTGTCAAAAGACTGCGCGCTTCTACTCGCTTCGTCTTTCCCTCTCGGTGAACGTTCAAATGAATGGCCGAGCGATTCGATTCAATTATGGATCCGTTCGGCGCGGTGAGTGTTCGCGTGTGTGCCAACCGTGCTCCGCGATGTACGAGCGCAATTCTAGTGATAGACTCTGCCGAGCGCTCCGAAGTCGATTTTCCCCGTCGAGAATGTCGCGAGGCAGGCAACAGGTCTGTTCTTTTTGGCCACGCGGGGAAAACAACGGCGCGGAGGTGGATTTTCTGTTGGCCGGGAGCCAACGGTTAGATTTCTGCCCACGGAAAAATATCTCTCAGTACCCGTAACTGAAAGTATCAGATGACTCGATGACGAGAAGAGATGATATGTCTCGGTTGCCGCGACACGAGAATGTGTTCTGCGTCTTCAGCTGTGTCAAAACTTAGTCGGAGCAACCAAGGGCGATTGACTGAGCGGAAACCTCCCGCAGGAATTTTTTCCATTTGCCACAACCGAGTTTTTGTCCCCCGGGACATTCAGTTACACCGACGGAATCGCTTCTTCCATGTACTTGCGATGCAACTGGAGAATCAAACTTTCCTCCTCCCATTCATTATCGACGAATGCACGGAAAAACAACCCAGTTGCTGCAATTGAATAGGGTCCGGATAAAAACTCTAACGATAAGAAATGATATTTCCGTTACCGCGACTGAGAACACTCGTGTGAACATTCAGCCGCGGTAAAATTCGACCGAGTCGACTGAGAGCGATCGACTGAGAAAATCGACTGAAAACTTCCCGCGGGAATCTTCCTATTTCTAAGGTAAAAGTACCAATGACTAGACGCGCACTTAACACGGAGATATTTTTGTTGTTTTGATTTTTAAACACGAATGTTCAAACTTTCATGTTATATAATATTTTAAGTTTGAAGATTAATCACATTTGTATTTAAATATAAAGACAACAAGAATGTCCACAGTTGGGTGCGTGTTTCAGGCAGGTAATTTTACCTTACTTTAACCCGACCGAGTTTTCGTCAGGTCCCCGGACAATAGAAAATTCAGTTATACCGACGGAGTTGTTTCTCCCGTGTAGGAATTTTCTATTCAGTCAAACGCTTTCACTTATCTCAACGGAGTTTTTATACAGCTGAATGTCCAGATGAATTGCTTCGGCCGTGGGGACAGAGATATCGTTTATAAATCACCGAGTTTTCGTTTGGTTCTCATTCAATTATACGAACTGAGTTTTTTTTTTTACCCGTTCGATAGGAAAAACAACTCCGTGAGTGTGACTGAATTTTTCGTTGTCCGGGAAGAACGGGGGGATCAGACGGAAAACTCGGCTGTGGCAACAATAAGATTCTCGCGGGAAATTTCTGATCTATTGTTATTAGTTATCTCAACCGAATTTGAGTAGAGCTGCAAAAAAATCTCAGTTCTTAACTGAAGAGGGACCAGATGAAAATTTGGTGATAAAATATGTAGCTGAAAATATTCGTATCAAAACAATTAAGCGCGATTGACCGAGTAGAAACTTACCATAGGAATCTTTCTGCTCCTACAACCGATTTTCATCCGATCTCTGGACAGAAGATTCAGTTACATTAACAGCGTTTTTTTCCCCTCCCCCGTGAAAATGTTTTCGGTTGTAAACGGAGGTAGTTTCTCATCGAATTTTCGTCGGGCTTCTATTTGGCCACACGAACTGAGTTTTTTTTTTTTTTTATAAATGTAACAATAGCGTTGACGTGCCCAGCGCATTAGTTCAGCTGAGAAAAACAGACAGCGTGAACTTCTAAAAGAAATCTTAGAAAGATTCAAAAAGACGTCTAAAAGACGTCTAAAAAAATATGTAGATAAGTAGATATGTGTAGATAAGTCGTGTCTTAGTATCTTAGTCTCTAAGGCGTCTTTTAGAAGTTTACGTTGTTTGGGGGGCTTATTTATCTTCTTATATCTCTCTTACTTCCCGTCACTTTGCGACAGTTTCCGACGCAATGTGTGTGATTGCGACGAATTTTTTTCAGCAAACAATGTCACCGTGCTGCGTTACGCGGCTCGCGAAGATCGCTCGTAGCGGAGGAGGTGCGTCGTGTGCAGTCGCGACATCGACGTGTGCTTGGGGAGCTCAATTTGAGCGTCGAGGCGATGCTGATGCCGTCCGTGGTCGACAATAACGAGGAGCAAGTGCCACAGGAAGTCCACGGCACTTCCACCGAGGAATTATTGCCTTCGGTCGGCCCTGCCGACGATCTCCTCTCGCGCGTCGGATGTGACATGGACAGTGGCTTCAGCGGTAGCTCCAGCGCGAGTTACAGGTACATTGATGAAGAGACATCCTTCTTTTACATATACATTTATCTTTTAACTCCGGCTACAGACTCGACAAATTATGAGAAAACATCGTCATGTGGTTTGCCGAGTCTTGGGCGAATTTTATTTTACGAAATTTATCACTCACTGTCTTATCTTCACATTAAACCCGCCGAATTGAACTCGCAGGTCGGTCTTGGGATCGCTGAGAAGAGGAACGGGGAAAGGCGGTTGTCCGGAATCGAGTATCGTTCAGCGTAAAACGAAGGCTGCTATGATATGGAAGAAAGGCTGGAAAGGTTGGAAGAAACTTCATGCTTTGGGGCACAGCAGCAGTAATAAGACCACCGGTAAGTCGGATCGATCACTCGTTATGCTTGATTATATTTTCGCAACAAATAACAGAGGAGCACACACATACACATACACGGACAGAAAATGGAACACGAGAATAATACGCCGTTGCCCCCGCCCCGTGTCTGCGTTGCTTTCGCTGTTCCACATTGGACATAATCGTCTATTTTGACAGTGTTTGGCCACACGTAACCGCCCGAATACGCGTAACCTTTCTTTTATGGGAGCGCTGCTCGCGATATAACGCGACTGTTCGGTCCTCATACTTTCCGATCCGTGCGCTCGCGTGCATTTGGCGAATGGAGTTAATTATTGGTACTTGGAAGGGGTCAGCCGTGGGGTCACTCGGTGGAGAAGCAGATGCGGGATCACGTGGAACGTTTCTCCCTCCTTCCCCTCCTCTTTCTCTCTCTCCGTCCGTCCTTGTTTCTCTTGTCTTCCGCTTACATCGAGTGAGCCTTCTTCGCTCTTATGCATCGACATAGGAATATATGAACGGAATCTTGTGCGAGGGGAAACTGAGATTAGTGGCAAGAGAGGAGGGGAGATATTTTTGATAGGTATTTTGTGCGATTTCTTCGAATACATAAGTAGCGTTAGAGAGATGCGACATTTATAACGGAAGTTCAAGAGGTGCGATTGGAAAGAACAGATTGTTGGATATACGCGAACAAAGCGAGTGCGTGTGAATCGAATGATGGCGGGTCTAGCCGAATAGTCCGACATATTTGTAGTTTTTTTAATCAGAAACAATGTATCTATCGGCCCATTCTTCCTACAGAGTTTCTGTATAAACAGTATCGACGATCTTAAAAAGAGGGGAGAAGGGTGATTAATATATTAATATATTAACACAGATAAATTTCACACAGTAATGGAATTTTCAATTTTTCCACTGACCTGACAATGTCTTTTGTTTTTCTCCTTTTAAAATGATCCTTGGCATAATTATAAACAGAAAGAGTTAAAAGGATTTATTTCAGCTTTTTTTTTTTATTTATTCCCGATCTTGTTCAATTGATTCGCGTTATTTTACGCATAATTCGTGCTCAATTAATATAGTGCTTTCGTATAAATATATCGTGGCGCCGTCTGGGCAAGGTATAGCAATGAGACGGTACTAAATGTACTCGCATGGTGCATCGTATCGGTCGAGTTACTTTCACCTTTTATACATTCGTTATTGCAAATTTTTTACTAGAACTATTTTTAATCGATTATTCAAGCTCGTCAAGGCACTCTCTACCAAGCTTACACACATACTTCGATTTGTACATTGCCTGACGGCAACTCTTCGTATCACTTTTTTGAATACCTATGCGCCAATGAAACGATAAAATTTTACGACAATGTGGAATTCTAAATGTTCCTACCGATCCAACAATCTCTTCTCGCTTCCCTCTCCTCTGTCAAGAATCACGGCCGTCATTGCCGAGCCGGTTATATCCTGGAAACGTTTTAACATCGAGAAAGGTAGGCTTTCAAGCGCAACCTATGACCTCCGATCGGGGTAATAGCCCGAAATAGATTGATCTTGCAACGATCATGATGTGACGTGGTGGCATCACCGTCGGTTGATAGTCAACGTGCGTGGGGTAGAGAACTTGACGTTACGTTGACGTTACATGTGGTGTGCATGGACCTTAATACGGCACTGCCCGGTGGTCCGCTGGAGTGGAGATCTCCCCATCTTCTTTTAGCACTCTTACTATCTCGACTTGGCGACACAACTACGCCATATTCCTCTCTCTCTCACACCCAGTCTCTTCCCCCTTACTTCTCATCCCCCTCCCTTCCCTCTCCATCCCTTCTCGTCCGTTTGCACCGCGCCTCTTCCTCTCTTTTATATTCATTCACTGTCTCTCGCCTCGTCCCGTCCACCCCTATTCCACTTTCCTCTCTCACACGCTCGCGCGCGTTCACAGCTGCGCTCGGACGCGCGCTCGCGCTGCGGCATTGTGTGTTTCACTCTCGATCGCGCATATACTTTCTCTCTCGTTGCTCTCTCGTGGCTTGCAATATACAGTACTCCCTCGCTCTCTCTCTCTCTCTCTCTTTCTCTCTTGCGCGCGTTCCTTCCTCCCCCTCTCCCGGTTCCGCGCGCGCTGCTGCTCGCTCTCTCCGTCTCTCTGTTTGCCTCCGTGTGCCCTTCGCTTCTTACTCCAACCTCTGGGGCTCCAGTGTATGGCGGCTACTACGTGGAGCAACGCGGCGCGCGCGGAGATACAGAACACGCGCGCGCGCACGGCCATGTTGACTCGCCGCTTCGAGTCTCGCTCGCCTCGCCGCTTCCTCGTCGGCTTCCACGGTGCGTCGTCTTTATCGTCGGATGTCGCGGCGTTATTAATTGTGTGCCGGGCCGCGCCGGCCGCGCGCACGTGCTCTCCCCGATGCGATTTTACTTCGAGTCGCTCGTTCGCACCCGTGTGATCGTCCTCCTCTTCCGCGGAGCGCACGCATGTGCGCGCGTGTATACGGATATACGTGTGTGTGGGCGCGCGCGAGCGAGCGCGTGCGTGCGTGAATTAGCAGCGCGATCGCTTTCTGCGAATACGTCAAAAAGTGATGGTAAAGTGAGGGAGAGAGAGAGGGTGTTGTGTGCGTGCGTGTGAGAGAGAGACAGAGAGGACTACGCAAGCAAATCGGCCGCGAGGAACACTCGCCTCCGCGAGATGGAGGAACTGCATAATGGGGTTGTCCTCATCAAATGTAAGTAGTGGCGTCTCACCGATAACGCGTCTTCCCTTCGTTTCCGTGACCATCATCTCGTCCGGTAACTTGCTTTTGTACCTACACATACATACATACACATATACATGCACACGTACACACGCATATTTGTACCTTTCTCGCGTGTATTCTCGGCGACGAGAAGGCTGCGATACGTTCTGAAAGAGAGGAGGAAAAATCGTCAGATTTTCGGTCGCAGAAAGGTTCTCGTTCGTTCTGAAATTCGTCAAATCGAAGCGTCTCGAGCTCTTTGCCGCCGACCGCGTGTCGATAATCGCGCGGATCGACCGGAGATCGGAGTGAAGACGGCGGTGTTTACGAGCGGGATATTTCGTAAGTGATCGTGTCCCGTCGTTGTTACACTCGTTTTCCTGCGTCACGAGACAGAGAGAGAGATGAGACCACGTGTGTTACAGCAAATTCACATCGGAAATATCGGAATATTTGAATTATGGTTCGGCCGGATCACGCTAGTTCGTTAACGGCGATTCCCGGGTTAGGTCGCCCGACACATACGGCACTGGTTACCAGGGCTACGCTTGAGTGCCGGCGAAGCATAGTAGATAATAGAGAAGTAGGTAGGACAGATTAACCACGTTCGTATCGGGTCGGTCGGTTTTCCGGAGTAAAATCCGCCCATCCGCATAATTGAGAGACGATAACGTCCCAGTGAACGAATAATTGTGGAAAAATGCCTATTAATAAGTTGCCGTTAACTTCAAGAATCGTTCGACAAAAGGTACTACTACCTTGAGCGTTATGCAACAAAACGTTACTTCAACCTATTTCAAAGCGTGTCACAAGAGCGAGAAGTCGGAGATCTTGCGTCACTCTGCGTCAAGTTCTCGGTCTTCGGATCAAAAATTCAGATACATTGAGAGAACGATATTATCATTTAGAAATGTTTCGCTATTCTAAACACGCCAATCTGCTGGTTTTCGAAGATAAGACCAGTGCTGTTTTTATTGCACGATTTAATTCTAGCTGAGAAGTCAAGACGTGGCACGTATCGAGAGGAAAAAAATTGTTGGTATTTGTAACTGTAATCGAAATGAGCGAAAGAATTATAGTCGGGAGAGAATCAGTTTTCCCAGTAAGTGTTACTGTAATGTGTCGGTGGTAATAACTTGATTGCCATTACTATTTTTCGTTCGGTGGAGTTATAAAACCGTAGGAAGATATAATTGAGTTGCCGAAAATGACTGTAATTTCAGCGAGGATTTGTGTCTCGAGAAGTTGCATGACGTGCCGGGAGTAACGGTGCACGTTATCCCATGTTGGGAACAGCGGGGTTATGTTTGATAATACAACATATGGGAAATATCAGCCTAGCTCGCCGAAGCGGATTATGCGTGTGAAGCAAAAACCAACGGCACTGCTACCTTAGTGGCACGCGGTGCAGCCCACTGAGCGCGCCACGAATCTATCAGCCAAGCCCGCAACACGCACCGTGTCTGTGTGTGTGTTTCCGCGTACGCTTCTCAATACTATTCCGTAGGAATTGTGAAATATCTCGTTTCGCGATATCACGATATAAATAACGATATAACGTGTCGCGTAAGCGTCAAGCGATCAGGGGATGATCGAGCGTTTCCCGGTAGACACGTTAGCCGCATCCGCACTCGCGTATCATCGTTAATTATACACACGGCGAGAACTGATCTAGAGGGACGGCAAATTTTATACTCTCGTAGGAAATATATAAATATACTCGGTGTCTTTTAAGTACTGTTTAATATTTTAGAAGTTTATATTTGAGGTCGTTTTAGGAGGAGAAATTCGCGTGAACTGTCTATAGTTTTAAAGTTTCAGGGTGGGAAAAAAACGTTCTTTTCCTAATTTTTCCACGGACTTCTTCGTTTCTATCTCAAAGGCAGAAGAAGGTCGTTTAGAAAAATTCACGTATGTTCTGTTAAAACTTGCTGCATTTATTTTTTTTCCGTAAAGAAAGTAAGAAACGAGAAAATCCGCGGAAAAATGGGGAAAATGTTTTTTTTTCCAAAACTTCTAAAGTATAGAACTATGTTATCATATGAACTTTTTCATAAAACGACCTTCCAGAAATCAACTCCTAAAATATTAATAGACAGTACTTATAGGAAACACCCTGTATGTTTATTCGCTTCGACAGCATCAAATTCGCAGTCTCTCTCCAGATAATTTTTCTCCGTGTAGTTCAACTTTGTCAATTCTAGTTTTGATAATGGCAGTCGTTATTGCACGGGAAAATCGTCGCGAACCCCCGCATCTTCGAGGTAAAATCAAAGTATCGCGATTGCGCCGATATTGTTCCCGATTTTGACGATAGCGTCGATCATCCGTTTAACGGATGACTCATTCATCGTCTCGTTATATCTAATCACGATAATTACATTAATTACGACGATCGTATCGAAGATCGTTGGTGCCAGCGACGGACGATAAGCGGACATTCTTCGCTGTACGTATAATTGCGACTGAGAGAGAAAGACGGAGAAGGGCAAAGCGAGAGAGAGAGAGAGAGAGAGAGAGAGAGAGAGAGAGAGAGAGAGAGAAGTTTTACAGAGTTTAGAATGTACAATCGGTTAATGGTTAATGGACGCTTTGACCCGTAAGCGGTCGCGCGGCACGGAAAATTGCCGCGTTGCTGCTGAATGCTGCTAAATGCGAGACCGGCGAATATGAAACATTGCTGGAATCTGGCAACGTTGAAAATAAGAAAGGTGCTCCGCCGCTGTTGTTCACACTCTGAGTACACCGCGCTCTCAATTTTCCCATTACACAGATCGTAATCGTTACGTTAGACCGTGATAATAAAAATCTATGGCGAAGTGAGAACCACACTCTCACATAGTGTGAGAAAAAAATTCGAGAAATAAAAAAATATCCGGTGAGTACTAGTAACATATTTATAGCAAGATACGTATTTTTGCACCGAGGAAAAGATTTTCAACTGAGGAAATGTGCAATTTCTTAAATCTGTAGCTTTCCATGAAAACAATTATTTAATCTATATATTCAAATAGAATTATTTAATCAACAATTATTTAATCTATATATTCAAATAGAAAAATTTAGATTTTGTAAATTATGTTATAGCACCCACCGAATACATATTTTTTATTTCTCTCAGATATTTTTCTCTCAGTGTATATGTAACATGTGATATACGATGCGACGGATGATACATTTCGGTGCGGAAGGGAGTGAAAATTTTCAGCTGTCGCAAATTGGGTTACGTCTATCTTTGCATCTGCGCATTACACTATATATACGTACACGCTCGTCTATGTTATGTAATAACGAGAGTCTAATGCATCGAGGAAACTCCTAGTCACGCGTAGGTGCACTTTTCTGCGCTTTGGTGCGCCCATTGAAATGTCACGTGAAGCCCGTGATTTTTCGCCAGGCTGAAAACCGAACGAAAGCAACGTTCCGTTGCTCCATATTCACCAGGCACCATAAACGAACTGGTTCAAACGGTGAAAGGAAATTGATAAATATAGATGTAAGTGTCGGAGAGTAACTCTTTCTCGTCATCGACCGATTACTCACCTCGTGCGATCTCGCGAGACGACGACGAGGTATCCTTTCTGTTGTTTTCATTCGATAACGACCCGGGGTTTCTGCCGCGTCTCAGCGTTGTATTAAAACAACCCGCGTACGTGTGTTGGCACGTATTTTGTAAATAATGTTTTATATCTCGTTTCTGAATGAGAGAGTTTCGATTGATCGCGCCTTGATTTTGCTTTTTTAAATAACAGTTGCGCAATTGATGTCATTTTCGCAAATGACTTTCGCTCGAAATTCCGTCCCGTCCCATTTGGCATTTTAATCGAGAGACGCGTGTACACTCTTCCACGACACGGATCTGCTCGTACTCGGACGAGGAGTGAAGCGAACGGACGGAAAAGGAAAGAAACGAAAAGCGAGGCATTCTCACACGAGCGAGACGAGATGCAAGTCGTCCTCCTCGAGCCGCGTCCCTCTGTTGTTAGAAATAAAGTCAGCAGGACACCACGTGTGTGTTACCTCAAAAAAGTTCGTGGCATGTGTATGTGAGACAGAGAAAGAGAGAGAGAGAGAGAGAGTGCGACGAGTATGCTTTACTTAGTTGCCATATATCGAATTAAGCAATCGTATTATGGTGTTTAGATTCAGCGTTCTCACCAAACGACGGGAAAAATCAGCGAAAAGTAACGTCAAATTCTATAGTTCCTCCAGTTTATATATCATTAGTAGTTCTGATACTTCGAACAAAGCCAGTTAATCTCAAAGCGCTTGACCTTCAGTATTACGTATTATATTACGTATAGCGATAGCATCATCCATCATCCTATTCGAGATACTGAATCGTTTAATCATATCCCAACGAGTTGATCTGCAAAGGCGACGCAAATATCTCTGTGGAAATAAACAATTAGAATGCATTAATTATATTATATGTACACACACACACATATACACACAGCCAACAGATCAAAGATTGCAACACTTTTTTTTTAAGTTTTGCAACACTTTTTTATCCAATAGGAAAATGTATCCCTCCCGAGAGAATTGCTAAGAAACAGATTCTATTGGACACGCGATGCATTGCGAAACTCGTTGAAAAAATTATGTCGCAACCTTTAATCTGCCGTCTATGCGACCCACGGTCGACGGGATTTGTCCCGGAGCGCTAAATAAACAAACCTTTAATAATAATAATAATAATGGAATTTATATAATACCGGATCCAGCGTTGTAAAGGTGGGTATATACTGAGCGAACGAACGAACAGCGAATGTAATATATTCGCATTTGAATGCGCACGAACTTTCTTTGATAACCTCACCTATAAGAAAATCGACTTGAAACGTTCTGGATTTTTCGTTTGGATTCGTTACTCCGGATCCACATATTTAAATATTTATATTACTTCCTATTATGCGTGTCCATATTTGCATCGCCTTTGCAGGTTATGCGTGTACCTCCATTAGCTCAATTGACGTATAGATAAAGCACTAATAAGAAAAACAAAAGATGAAAATCTCCGTATTTGTATATAATATTGTGCGTATATATTTGTCTTAACTTCGTTCTAAATTAACATATTATTTAGATAATCAAATGAAATTATAGGAAGTTACAGAAAATACACTTTTTTCAGTAAATAATAAACTTATGTAGGGGCCCCATAATGTCGCCACTGAAAATCCGGCACTTTACGGAGCAACTACCTTATGACGAATTCGATTGGATGCACTAGTGCGCACCAGTGCACACTAAGGTCGTATATTCATAGTCTGTTTTACATTTAAAATCATCTACAGTTCATCTTCAGATACCAGTACATCGTTGTTTTATTGGCCACGGAACATCTAAAGATGAACTTCAGATGATTTCAAATATAAAATATAAAGACAAAACTACACTAATATGACCTCAATGTGCATTTGGTGCGCACTAGATGCATCCAATCGAATTCGCCATTAAATCTCGGGAATTGCGATGTCTGGAAACTCCTCTCGTTAAAAATTACGTTACATTTTATCGCTCCGAGGCAAAAAAGGTTAAAAGCTCACCACATCTGTTGCTGGTCCCGGATTTATGGCGTACGCACTTTTCAATTTTCCAACAACGAAAGTTTGCGTTTGCTGTTCGTTCCATGTTCGTTCGTTCAGTGTATACCGAGCTTAAGCTGCGCGAAAGGTAAACGGGGATGACGAAGTCGTTGTTCGGTGTCCGTCTCCGCTACGAGAGAGCGCGCGCGAGAGCAGATCGAAGCGAATCCGGAGTAACGGCGACGCTCGCGCGCTCGGTTTTCTCTCTCTCTCTCTCTCTCTCTCTCTCTCTCTCTCATACACTCTCTCTCTCCCTCCGTATTCCCGCGAGTATATATATTTGTTGAAGGAACAGCGGTGCATCGGTACGGAGCACGCACGCGGCTCATGCGACTATTACGCACCGCGTCGCGCGCGTCTCGCTTTCTTAATCGCTCGGAGCCACCTTGAATTTCGGTGCGTACGTGTGGGTGCGCATGCGTGAACATGCGCTCGCGCCTCTGTGCCACTTGACGCGGCGCGTTTACACGCGCGACGCGACGGTGCGTGAGTGCAAACGAGCGGGCGTGCGTGAGCGAGCGATCCGAGCCGGGCCCCCGTGTTCTTCGGCGTACCGATTTCGTCGTCCGCGCGAAAATACCGGTCGAAAGCATAGAGAGGACGAGTAGGCGGCGTGACGACGTGGTCCGAGGAGGCATCATCGCCGGCGGCATTGGCTAACAACGCGTCTTTCCATTTTCGTGTATCTGTCAAGTGCCTCTCTCTCTCTCTCTCTCTCTTACTCTTCCTCTTTCTCTCTTTCTGGCTGTTCTCTTTCTCTTCTGATCCGTTTCGGCACGGCGGGAAATGAGAGGAAGAGATCGGTAGTCATCGCTGGTCCTTCTCTCACCTGCGGTACGTACACACACCAACGTGTTCCCAGGGCTATCCTCGATTTAGAGCTGCCCGAGGGACTCGCAAATCGACCGTACTGTGCATAGACGCTCGCGTCACGATGGGATAAACTGACCTTGACGTCAAACTGACGTGTTTTACGATTCCATTCTGGATACCTTATACGTCGCCGCCGCTGGTATCTCCAACACAGTGCATTTCCGATTAACGGCCAATGCGAATTTATTTCTTTGTGTTTTTACGAGACAAAAGCCGTCTCGCGGTCGGACGGCGCGGTCTGAAGCGGAATATGCCCACACATCGTAGGCTTGTGTTAATAATCATTGTTGAAACTTTAGTCTCTGTTCTTTTCAGATAAACTGGGTTGCGCCTATTGACGTTAGAGTGAAAGGAATATGTAATGTAATATTGAAAGAAAAAAAAAGAGCAACGTCCGGTGTAGTATTAGATTAGCTAAAAAGAACGGGCTTCTTGTTTCGCGTGAGACGCTCAGACCTGAATTCAGAGTTGGTTCTGAGCTTTTCAGCCGAATCATACATGATGAAATATGTGAGATATTGTACACTGCCGTGCATTAATGGAATCCTATTTCCTAGGCATTCATAGGCCGGTATTCACAGTCGGATCTTGTATTTGAGATCGTCTTAAGTTTACCTTCGGATGTTTCGTAGCCAATGAAATGAGCCGCACAGCATCTGAAGATGAACTTAAGCCAGTCTTAAGTACAAGATCCGATTACGAATACCACCGACGGTGATATGCGAAATTTCGAATTAGACGCATCATTTCTGAATATTCGTGAATCATGACTGCTGTTTTGGAGCTATGAGAACAAAATATCCGGACATCCTAGATCGGTTTCGGCTCGGCCATTCAAATCCGTACTATTCGGATAATCTACATACAAGTTCAGACCCTGATTCTCCAAAATAATGAAAACTGTCGCATACAATAGTTAAGGTCCATTTCACGCTGCAAGCGTTTTGGAGCGTACACGGACCATTAAAATGGATCCAAGCTATCGTGTTTGCGATATTTTTCTCATATTTTCAAGGCCCAGAGTCGAGATCCGGCTCCAGAAGCGCTACGGTCTCTCTTCGACGATGTTGATTGGCTGTCTCGAAATTTCGATCTCGATAAGTGTCGTCGCTTACTTCGATTCGCAGTTATCGTAAAACGGCTATCACCGCGGAGGTTAACGCGTCTTGACAGCTCGTAAGTTAAGAAAGTTAACATCCTCTCATGTAAAACTGTTAAATATATTTTGAGAGGTCTGAAATCATGGCTGTTTGGTCGATTCCACCGCGAATTTAGATCCGGATTCGACCCCGACTTCGGATCCGGATCCGACTCTGGATTTGGATTCGGGCCCGAATCTGAGGCCCTATTATGGAAATGCTCGGAAGGCTTCCGAATGAAATCGTTCAATTATTCCCTAGATTTTTATTGTGTTTTCTGGACAATAATTGAGCGATTCCGTTCGGAAACCTTACCAAGCATTTCCATAACAGGTATACTGGTTTCGGATCCGGATTTTAAGTGTCACATTTATCCGTTATCCGAGTAAATCGGGTGTCCGAATAGTGTTAGATCCGAACGAACATTAGAGCCCTATTATTTCATATATTGATATAAACCTTCCTGGACACCCGGTATACTCGTAATCGCGATTTAACTGAAAAACTCGCACTCGGCTTGAAGACCCATATTAATAGTCATCACTTGAACCTTGTCTCAAGTGAGATTATCGGATTTGAACTTAGAGTTAGATCGGAATTTTCCAGTTGAATCGCGATTGCAAGTGCAGAGTGTCACGTGTATCATAAAATTTAACTGAAAAACACAGATCTAACTCCAATCTCAGACCCGAGTATCTCACGTGAGGCAAGTTTGAAGTGGCCACTATTAATATAGGCTAAAACTCACACCTGTGTGTTTCACAAGAGATAAGTTTCAGGTAACAACTATTAACGTGGGCTTTAGAGACGTCTGAAAAACATCCCACTTATTTTAGACGTATCGTCGTATTATCTAAGCACCGATAATTTTTCTCATATTCGATACCGATACGTTACTGTCCTCAGCCAGACAGCAGAAATGCTTAAAATACGTTTTACAGGTATCTAAGGGCAGATTCCATTTAACGATCGCGAGAATTCTTTTATCTTTATTTCTGCTAGATGTTAAAAAAAAACTGATCACTGCATTGTTTGCAGTGCAGGAAAAATAATATTTATTGAGAAACTGGCGTTCCAAAAATCACATTTCTTCGAAATTTCTCATCTTTTTACCTATTTTTTTTTTTTTTTTTTTTTTTNGATTTACGGAGAATTTAATTCGAAACATTTTAAGAAGAAAATTGTTCAGATAATTATGGTAAAACTGATGAAAAATATTGTTTCGAGAGAAACTCGTTCAAAGTTTTACAACAGATTTTCAACGCAATGAAATGTGTTTACCCGACTCAAAACTGCTCTGAATCATGGAATCTGGTGTTTAGAAACTCTGCAATATCAGATAAATTATATCGTTATTTGTCGACGACAGAGAAATCGATCTTTTTTCACAAGAACTCTCGCGTGCGTTATGTTTGTGCGTAGTACGCCCGATTTAATTCCTCGCGCGTATTAACAACTTTTTTCTCTCGAGAATCGGCATTTAAATTACTTAAGACGTTTAAATATCTTTTACAACCATCATTAGATGTCGCTGCACTTAAATATACAGCTATTTGCATGGTTTTTAGCTCAGAAAACCTATTTAGAAGCAATTTTTCGTATCATTGAGTGGCAACTGTCATTCGCATTCTGTATAAAGTTTCATAACTCCGGAACAGTCACTTAGAGTCATTTAGGCCCTAATTAAAAGTCGTTTTGTTATTATTAACAAAATATAGTATATTATCGATGATTTATCATTATTTCGGAAGCACTATAAATCTAGATTTACTCGTTACTTTTTGGAAAAATGAGGAGAGACCAGGAAAATTTAATTTAAAAATCGGAATAAACACACCAAGTGTTCGTGATCGTTTAAGTAAAAAAAAAAAAAAAAAAAGGATAAGGCGACTATTTCCGGGTTAAACATCCCTCAAGTAGTTCGACATATTTATAATTAATATAAAATACTGGTATGAAGTGAAATTTTTTTTCATTTTACAAAATACATCGAAAAATTCGAGCATACGCCTCTTTCGTTGTTCAGCTGTCGAAATCGTAATCTCAACATTTTCAGGCTCAACAAATGACAAAACACTGCTAAAAGATCGTCCCGTAGGAGATGATTAGAAGCCAAAAATCGGTGTTTCGGTCATTTCAAAGTTCCAGTGTCCCCTTGAGCGCGCGCGCACGCGCGCCGTCTGGCTCGGCGATTAATGGTACGCGCTGCGAAAAAAAATTCGCGCTCCGCCGTTCGCGACAATAACGTGGGAACGGAACACGGACGGTGTAACATCGCATTAACCCGATTATCGTCGCGACGTTAACGCGTCGTGATGCTGCAGGCACGACGAGCGCGACAACAACAGCGGAAGGCCCAATAAAACCGGCCGCTGTGTTGTGCCATACATGACGAGGACGAGAATGCGTGAGGAAGCCGCGCTCTTGCGCGAGAGACTGGGTTGGTTTCCGCGCAGTTTGCTTTTCGCGAAGCGAAGCGCTCGTTGTTCCGTTCGGAAAAATCTCCTAGAGTGTCTCTCGCAACCTCCCGCAGGTCTCGTCGCTCGGCACGCGATGCGGCGCGCGCGCGGCAGAATGGAGTGCGGAAATCATCGCGCGGCCCCGAAGGTGACGCATTAGCGCGCGTCAGATATTCATCGGTGATTCGCGATGACGCGAGGATGAGCACTCCTCCTCGCTTTTCCGTAGAGAGTCGCCGCTGCGGGTAGGTGCTCCGATCTCTCTCTCTCTCTCTCTCTCTCTCTCTCTCTCTCTCTCTCTTTCTCTTCCTCTCTCTCGCGCGCGCGTTTCTCCGTCGTGGAAATGTTGTGAATATTTTCGACCTTCGCGCGCGCTCTACTCAGCTCAGAACGCTCGCGATTCGGCGATTCCGAGTTGGCGGCACCACGTCTGCTGCTTCTTCGTGCATCTGTGTCCTCGTTGACTCGTTTCAGGAACTTTTCAGTTCGCTTCCTCGGGCAGAGGAGCGACCCCGGGAAGCGGTTTGTTTTCTCCTCCTCGCTTTCTCGGACGATGAAACAATCATGCGCTTGACTTTTCCCATGCGCCGGAGAAAGAAAGATCGGTCGAATTAACGCTACTATGAACGGAACGAGCGCGCGGATTCGGCGGAAGGAAACGGAATTTCGGAGTTTGAAGAACCGAACACGGTTCTTGATTCGGCCTTCCTTCGACCGAAGCACGTTTGGTTGCGTCCATCGTTACACGGAGACAAAAGATCGGTCGAGTGAACGTGACAATTGAGCCCGTTTTCCCGTCGAAGGGAGAAACGGGATTTCTGGTCTCCAGATTTGCGGTTCGTAAGAAGCAAAAATTCCGTCGCGTCGATTCGACCGAAATCTTTTCTTCTACGCGCACACGCCGATTCTCAATTGATCTCTCACGGGTAATGTGATCCGTATTAAACGGAGTTTTTGTGCCGCGTGTCTTCCAGACGAGCCTCGTTCAAGGTGCAAATCGTGGGATGACGTAGGACCGGGCAAGATGGAAACGGCCGGTGGACACTCGCAGGCGCATCGTCACTCCTCCCTGGAGACGAGCAGGTCCAATACGTCCACGCAGTCAGCCAGAAGCGAAGACTCCTGGTGCTCGGCGTCGGACCACGAGATCTCGTCGGACGATGAAAGCGAGAAGAGCAATATCAGTATTAAGTAAGTCCGCTCCCTCTCTCTCTCTCTCTCTCGATCGCGGGTTACATAACCGATCCGATGTAGCAGAGCGATGTGTGTGTGTCCGTGTAATAAAAACTCACCGTTCCTTCGCAGAAGCAACTGTCAATTAAGGAACACATTGCACAAGGCGCGCACACTGTGCGACAAGTGGCGCTTCCAGCACTTGCCCCTGAACAATGTGGATCCCTTGGAGTCGCCGAGTAATCACGGACGCCTCTCGAGATGGTTCAGCATCCGCAGGGGGTCGTCGCATCATTACGACGTGGACTCCACGGACACGGTGTCCCTGACCAGCCCTATCAAAACGCCGCAGATGCCGCAGCTTTGCGAAGTGAGCGTCGGGGTGCCCCTTTGCAATTTCCTCTCGAGCTATCGTCCACAGACAGCACGCGATATCACTCGTATACGCGATTCTCATATTGAATGTACTCCGTGGTGATGTACTGAGAATATTTCTACATTTCTCGTGGTACTTCATATCTCGTACGTTCTCGGGACACACTCGGGATATAAAAACCAGCCATTGATGTAAGATGCGTACGAGAAAAATCTATCTTACATTGGAAAATGTGAAATATTCTCGGGAAATATTCATTTTTCGATTATCTCACTTTGGTATTTTTACAGACAGAATGACTATAGAGAAATCGATTTATGTTAGAAAGAAAATCGCATGAAAAATTCAAGTTGACCTTGATCTGACTTAGGCAGCGCTGTCTAAAGTCACAGTTCGGACCATTGGATAGATTTCTTTGAAACGCTACGAACTTGGTCCGAAACGTTTTTTCTGTAAACTTCTTGGACACCTTGTATGTTCTCAGTATATTCGATACGTATTCTGGGAATATACGTAATACACTTTTGCGATATATATTCGTGGAACATTCTCACTTGTGCTGTGTGGACGTGCCGCCCTTTAAACGCTCATCGTCGAGTATTCTCCGAATTTCTTCGAAAAGGGTACAATTCGGATCGACTGAAACAATTCACTCTTATTTGGAGTTGGAATTCACTCTAAGCTTGAGTGAGACGTTCACTTTTGCGATTTCGAGTGACGGTATTTTCAACTTCGAGCGAAAATATTGTCACTTTCCATTTGTTTCGAGCGAGATTCTGTTTCAGGAAATTTAGAGAATACACGGGGGCAAAAGTTTGGTCGAATCAACGTGACGATGAGGAAAAACCGAATGAATTCAACCAAACTTTATTCCTCCCGTGTGCTCGTCGAACAATCGTTACGACACGTATTCCAGGTCGATGAGGAGAACAGCGCGATGGTGCAGTTCCAGTGCATGCAGCAACGAAGGCAAGCTCCACCGACGCTCCCATCGGCACCCCCGAACTTGTCGCCCCAGCAGTTGAAGCGCAGGCATATCGTCGCAGCGATAGTGCACTCGGAAAATAGTTACGTGTCCACCTTACAGAGACTAGTCAACGTACGTGCAAATCATGTAGTTTCGTCACTTTTAACTGTTAAAAGCAGGAAAGGACTAATAAAATGAAATAAACATTGATACGAGTCTCGCGAAAGTGAATGCGCTTTCCAATTCCAGGACTACAAGAAGCCGTTGGAGGAGTCTTCGCCGCCTATATTGAGCCAATCCAAGATAGCGACGTTGTTTCACCGGCTACCCGAGATCCTACAATGCCACACGTTGTTCAGAATCGCCCTGGCGGAATGCGTACGATCCTGGGACAAAGACGAGAAGCTGGGGGACGTGTTCGTCGCGAGTTTCAGCAAAGCCATCGTGCTTGACATTTACAGCGGCTTTATAAACAACTTCTCCGTGGCGATGGATCTGGCTAAGCAGGAGTCGAAGAGGAAGACCGCCCTCGCTGACTTCTTCAAGGTACTTATAATTTTGCAAAGCCCAAGTCTAAGAGGCTATTATAGTCAAATCTTATTTTTAAGATCGTTTCAAGTCCATCTATGAAAGTTCGACTATGAAAGAGGTAGTATTCATGATCAGATCTTACACTCAAGATCGTCCCAGAAATCCATCTTCAGATACTGTACGGGTCATTTCATTCGACTATAAAGCGCCTGAAGATGAACTTAAGACGACCTTAAGTGTAAGATCTGACCATGAGTGACCGGCCTAGATTTTATCGTAATTAACACAATGCATTCCAATGTTCGTAGGTGAAGCAATTGAGCGCGCACGACAGATTATCTTTCTTCGGACTGATGGTTAAACCGGTGCAGAGGTTTCCGCAATTCATATTGTTTTTGCAAGTGAGTATCGTCGTTATCGGTGTGCGAAAAGAGACGGGAGTCTTTTTTCTCATCAGCAGCTGCGGAAATGTGACGCGAGTTTTATACTCAGGACTTGCTGAAGCACACGCCTCATGGACACCACGACAGGATGTCGCTGCAGTTGGCGTTAACGCAGCTGGAAAGCCTGGCGGAAATGCTGAACGAGAGGAAACGAGAAGCGGAACAGTTTCAGGCGTTCAAAGAGATGCTGCGACACGTTTCCGGAAAGTTATCGCACCGTCCCCTCTCCTCGACGTCGCGTTATCTCATTCGAGAGGATAACGTCACACAACTGGTAACGTTGCTTTGTCTAATACGAATTTAAATATATGTAATCTTTGAAAAATATACGTTGCTGCGTGTTATATGCGCGACTGCGCATCGATGAAAAGAATTCGCGAGCCAAAGTCAAGCGCGCAATTTCTTGGCACAGGAGTTCAATCAAAACGGCATGATAACGAAATCGAAGAGAAGAAGGCTATTATTACTGAACGATTTGGTGGTGTGCGTTTCTGTCACACCAAGATCCACGGAGGACTTTTCGGGAAACGAACGATTAACGCTGAAATGGACATACCCGGTATCCGACATTGAGGTGTGTAGAATAAACTTGAAGAAAATATCTTAATCCACTTTCCTCGCTTATTATACCTCCTCCCCCCCCTTTTTTTTATAGCAAAACAACTAGACATTTCTTAGACACACAGATATTAAGTTAAGCTATTCACATTATTAGCACATACATGCATACTTTCCCGTTGAAAAATCGCTTGAACAGTTTGAAGTATTAAGTTTTCTGCGCTTCTTAATATATTTATATTTGGATTTTCTTTTTTCTTGAAGATGATTTTGACGATAAAGGCATCCCTTTCATACCTTGTGTGATGCAAATAGATTAACATATAATCGCTGACATATTTGCTCCAGATTCAAGATACCAGTACTTCTCCGACTTTGAGTCGATTGCTCACAGCTGGTCTAAATAAGGGCGGCAGCTTGAAATCGGACAAAAGCGGAGAATGCGGGCAAGCGGCCGATGCGGATAGTCTTTGCGTAGAGATGAACGATCTTATGCACGACTACGAGGTGATGTCCAGAATAAGCGATTTGGTGGTCCAGTTGAAGGGTAAATACGAGGTGAGAACAAACTGGCAAGCGAATCTAACGCGAACTCGCAATAAAAATGCGATATCGTAACATATTTGCGTCTCGTGGGGAAAAAACATCGATATCCGCTTTTCCAAAAAATTGGAAACAATTTACAGAAGCTTTCGAATTTTTTTAGAGCCTTTAGAGACCTTAAAATTTGTAGACACTTGAAGATACGTCGTGCGATATTTTAAGTGCGTTTTAATCGCGATCTGTTTCTCGCTTGTTCCACGTTCGCAGGGGATGACGCTGCAGACCACTAAGCAGATTCTACAGTCGATACAGATGTTGATACAACAAAAGGACGAAGATATGGTGTGGGCGGACAGTTGTTGCATGCAACTGGTCACGAAGCAGGGTCAGATGTATACGTTCCAGACGGAGAGTCCGTTGGTGAAGAAGGACTGGATAACCGAGCTCCGATTGGCGCAGTTAGCCTTGGACCCCAACAATTCCCCGTCGTGGGAAGTACCTGAGCAAGAGCAAAGGCCATCCACGAAGATGCCACTGTTCGTCAGTTCACAGGCTGTGTATCACTCGCAACATCAGACCGAAGTGAGTTGGCAAACTTGTTCAGATGCAAGTAACAAAACTTAGATACACTTAACTCTGGAAATTCTTGTCGTTTTCATCTTTAAATACGAATATTTAAACTTCCAGCATAGAATATATATACATATGTTAATTATGAATGCGTATTTTATGTTGAAACATTAAATACATTCGTATTTAAGGACCGAAACAACAAGAAAGTCTGGTTCATAGGCATTGGTGACTTTTACCTCACTTTACCCTCCTTCGTCGTTTTTCCAACTTAACTCACAACTTTGCGACTTTGCCGAGGCAGGTACGTTGCGGTTGTTACTACACCACTGAGAACCCGCGTCCCACGAGGCGACGCGGCAGAAGTCAGAATTACCTGTGGATATGCACGGGTGACGGCATATCCAGTCACGTGACGATCTTCGGCCAATCTACCACGGCCTCGGCCACCTGTCTCAAGCGCATTACCACGTTCGACCTGGTCGAGACCCGGGTGAGTAGTATCGAGTTCGTCAAGGGCATCGTATCCGGCGGCGAGCTCGCCACTCTCGCGAACGATCTCGTGTGGATGGGCACGGACTCGCGGAAGATCATCATCTACGCCGCGTCGGAGCCCGAGAAGGAGGAGGAGATCGGTAGTTATCCCGTGCCGGGGCCGGTGGTGGAGATCAAGTATCATTGCGACAACGTGTTCGTGGCTCTGGGTACGGGCCTGCTGCTTCTGTTCAAACGTCAAGTCGACGGCGCGTGGAACCTCAAGGACCCCTTCGTCATCTCCCTCGGCAACGACCCGGTCTCCTGCCTGATGCCGATCAACACGTCCATTTACGCCGCCTGCGGCAAGAAAGTATGGGTACTTAACGCGACCTCGGGCGACATCACCAAGAGCTTCAGCGCCCAGCACGAGCACGTGGGTAACGTCAAGCTGATGGCTCACTCCGGGGTCGGTCTCTGGGTCGCTCTGAAGAACTCGAGCACGGTCTGCCTTTATCACACGGAGACGTTCAAGCACCTGCAGGACATCAACATAGCGTCCAACGTGCTGAGAGTGACCAAGACGAACAATTCCCCGAGCTCGGCCAGCAACACCAACTTCGCCGTCAACAGTCAGACCACGGTGACCGTGACGGCGCTGTTGGCGTGCAAGGGTCTCCTCTGGGTCGGCACCAACGTCGGCATCAGCCTGACCATTCCGCTACCGCGACTGGAGGGGGTGCCCATCATCAGCGGCCGCGTCAATATTTCGTATCACGCGCACTTCGGGCCGATCACCTTCCTCCTGGCGATACAGAACACAAAGAACACTGTGTACTCCGCGAAAGAACGCGCCCATGACGACGAGAACGCGCAACTGAAGGCCAGGGAGGCCGAGCAGAGGCTGCGGGACCGGGCGAGCGTGGACTCCTCCGTCTGCAGCAACCTCGTGAAGCTGAAGCAGCAGTTGGCGGGGAGCCCGGTGATGCTGAGGAGGAAGCGGAGCAAGGAGTACGAGTACAGGGGCTCCAAGACCCTACCGAGGGGGCTGGGCGCCGGCTGCGGTTTCCTCTCGAGCTCCATGTCCAGCTCGCAGAGCTCCGGCGAGAACTGCGACGTCTACGGGCTCTACGGCGAGCTGATGTACGTGAAGGACTACGAGAACGAGAACAGCTCGGGCATCGACCCGGTTTACGAGACCCTGAGGAGAAGCGATCCGGAATTGGCGGCCATACCGAACAAAGTGTGCACCTTGGATCGCAGGCTGAAGCTGAAGATCACGAGGCCGAGGTCGCTGGATCTCTCCAACTGGTCGGTCGACTCTCACGGCTCCTTGTACACGTCCTCCGGCTCGGAGGAGAACCTGTCCCTGAAGACCGGCCGACTGTCGCGCAACAGCAGCACAGCTAGTCGAAACGGCCCGTACGACTTGCCGGCGGCCAACAGTAGCGGCGTGACGCAGCCGGAATTGGAGACGACGACGGCGCCCGCGGGCAACGTCAAGGCGAACGGCAAGAAGACCAACGGCAAGGCGACGCAACAGGTGGACCAGCCGAAGCGGACGGTGCTGACTCTGATGGGCGGACGCGGCTACATCAATTGGCGGCAGCTGAACGCCCAGCTCGGCCTCGACAAGAGCCCCAAGTCCAGCTACGTGTTCAAGGATCCCAACAGCAACGACGCCCACATCGTCCTCTGGGAGATGAAGTTATGATATTCGATCGCGCTAGGCCTGTCGTTGCACGTCCACGCGGGAGACGGAATCTCGACGTCGACGTCTTGTGTATATTGTTGTTGTTGTTGTAGTGCCGGAGAATAGGACCAAATCAGTACCCCCCTCCCCTACTCTCTCTCCTCTCTCTCTTTCTCTCTCTCTCTCTCTCTCTCTCTCTCACATTGGAGCGTCGCGTTAGGCAAGATCATTGGCAATTTTGTTCTAACACTTTGCGTGCCGCACGAAGCTGCCGCGCTGCCTGACTCGAGCAAGCTTGGGAATTTGAGGCTCAGACTTGTCGGTTACGAATGAATTATTCACGATAACGATGTTATAACCGCGATATCGCACATCGGAGGTTTTTTTAGCGGTTACTGAGCCCGCGACGACTCGTGTGCAGCCGCACACTTTCGGTTGCGAATCAGTGCCAGTGTAAGAGGAACTTTGGTCGATGAGTGTTCGTGACATCAATGTCCCCGCATCGTGGCATCGTGTTGCGTCGGCGGCTTGCGACGTCCAAATTCGCGGCGATATCGTTAAGTGTGGTCGGCGGACCGCAAAGTGTTGGTCCGGGTCTGCAATAGGCGGTGAACCTTGAACTTGTTTTGCCTCCGAGCGATAAAATGTAACGCGACTCCCGACAGAAAGCGTTTCCCGCGTCGGCACGAGTTGTAATGACGCTTAAATCTGAGGAATCGCGACGTCTGACGACACCGGAGACGCTCTTTGCCGGAAATCACCTTTGCAGTTTAGCGCTCGAAGCAAAAGACTCGAGGTTTGCCACGCTCATCGTAGGTCCGCCCGTCGAGAGTTCGTCAGATCGTCGGCTTCGATCACGTCGAGTCGTGATGTCACAGAGCGAATACTTCGCGTTTCCTCGTTCGCACGCGATACATTACGTTAGTATAAGTCGATTTATCATGGACAGGAGCCGCTCGTACGTGAAAAGTATTACTAATGTCATCGCAGACGGGCGTCGGGCCCGTATTGATAGTCATTACTTGAAGCTTGCGCTCACGTGAGATAGCCGGAATTTACGGTTGCACCCGAGTTTCTCGGTCGAATCGTGCAATATATATATACATATATACAAGTGACGTATTCGTAATCGAGATCCAACCGAGAAAGTCCCACCCAACTCGCGAAATTGCGATCCAAGTATCTCACTCGAGGCAAGTAACGACCGTTAATACGTTAGGCCTTCGGCTATTAAATCGTCCCTCACGATTGTCCGATCGTTTGACTTTGGGTTACCGTCTAACCAGGCCTCTTTTTTTTCTAACGAGCAAGTTTTCCAAGAAGACCTAAATACTTATTCGATCGTAACAGACCGAAGTACGTGGATCGTCGGAACGCACAAGATTAATATTCAAGCATCGGACACGCTCTTCCTGTGTTTTCCATTGCACACGGGGATCGCTTCGAATCACGCGGCGTAATCGCTTCCACGGAAACACGGGGGTCGTCGCAAAATTCATATCTGCTCTCCGAGTGTTTTACGTGAATCTCGTGAAATAATGTACGATGAGACGCGCGACAGACGTAGCGAAGAGAAACGCGCACGTTGGGAGGGAACGGAATTACGCTTGAAAGAATCCGCGCGTGCGAGAATACCGTCCCGTGTGTTCGTCGTAGGAGCCGCTCGGAAGTACACAAGACGCGTCTCTTTTATCCGGTTGTCGAGACAATAAATGCAAATCGTGACTCACACGGCCGAGGTGAAAAGCGGCGGCACGGATTTCTAAAAACTGTCTCAATGCAGACATCCGAAAGACGTCTTAGATCTTTCAGACGCCTCTCAGAAATCTGTGTTGCCCGGGGTGGCGGTTCAGCTGCGGATTATGCGCTCTCGCACACGCGGAAATATTCACCGGATATATGCATGCATCTGCGTTGAAGATTTTTTTCCTTTTTACTACATTGTTACGGACGATTGTTGTTTCGGCGGTGTAACGTTGTTATATACGCGCAACGATCGCGCGTGCAACGGAAATCGGCCGAGACCGGTTTTTACGTTAATACATGAGTATGTATGTATATACGAGTGCGGGCGGTATTACTTGTTTTAGAACGCGTACGCATTATTGATTTCGGTTTTAAGGGACGATATCGCTCGTCACGCCGATCGGGATTCGACAGGAGTGCGATTGTTTTTCGCCGGTGCAACAATATCCGTCGCCGTTTTTCCGATTGCAACCGCTTGTTAACGTTTTTTTTTTCCACACTGCGCATTTAACTCAATGGACGCGTTTGATAGGAAAGAGGATACGGATAACGTTTTCATTCGCACGAGAGAGACGACGCGCGTGCACGCACGCGTTGCACGCGCTCACTTGGTGCCTGTGATAAATACAAGCTCCATGCGCGCACGTGATATAGAAGACAATATGACGCAGCTGCGTTGTTCGCAGCATGTGAGGAATATCAATTTACGAGCCCCGTTGGCGGGACTACGACGGTAATTGAAGGCACTTATTGCCGACTTGGTTCCGGTCGCAAGATCGGATCTTGAAATCTCGAACTCCGAAAGTCTTCCTGAGATATATATCGACCGGATAGAGAACCCCTTCGCGATCTTTCAATTCGTCACGACTTGATGCAGTGCAATGCTCATGTGTTTTCATTTAACAGTCGATGGATTCTTACGATGATTTATCAAGATTTAAAGAAAAAAAATAACTCGAGCTTTTCTCCCTTGCCGCTTGGTTACGGATATCCCTTTTGCGATTACGGAGATAACTACGCGGTAATTACGTAATTCACACGTTGGGGATAACAGTTTACGAGGAATGGTTTAATCGAATGGTTTAATCAAAGTTTTTTTCTATTAAAAAATGGAAAAAGAAGAGATAAGAAATTGATCTTCCCGATCTTTTTTCATTCTGAGAGTACTCGTTCGTCGACGATAATACGGACGCGATTAAACGCGAACGGAGAATATTTATGTGTTACGAAACGTTATTCATTGGATGGCATTGTCTGTTTATGCTCTTGTGATAATTATTGAGAAAAAAAATTTATATAATTTCAGTTATACAATGAAAGAAGTATATCTAATTTTTTATAAGATGCTGTCGAGTTTTTGATACTGATACGATCGAGTGTTCGATAAAATGTTGGTCTACAAATGAGTGAGAGCGAGCGAGTGAGCAAGCGAGCGAGCGAATGATTGACTGAATGAATGTGCGTGCGAGTGTGCGAGTGAATGAGCGCGTTCACATATATTGCAGAAGTAATAATAGTGTATGTATTATGAAATCTCGTTGAATAGATCTATATTTTGTACACTAACTTTGTTTAAATACATAGTTTTATTTTGTATTTATGCCCATAGTACGCGAGTTGGTTATACAACGAAACCTTACTATGTATTTATTATTTTGCAGTGTCATGTTGTGTCATCGTCACAGAGAACTCTGGTTACTTTTTTTTTTCTGTCACGAGGCGATCTAGCATACTTTCCGTTCATTGTAACATTTATAATGGCTATATTAAAACTATTTCAAATGAAACGCTCCCGGAGAATCTGTCATTTGCCATCTGAATGCGTCCTTCTTTGCCTCTGATGAACGACGAATCCAAGTTCGTCGTCCGGAGTCGTGTCGGAGAAAGAAGCTAAATTACCGTGCGAACGCATCTCTTCTCCATACAAAATCAACAGGTTATCTTTATTTGCCAAACGCAATAATATAATCATTGAGAACAATTAATCTCTGTAGCCGATCAATCGCAGTAAACCCAAACGTAATCCTGTTTAACGCGCATGCTTCTCTTCATCGCGTGACATTCGTGATCTTCGCGAAAGATCAGATTTCTGCGGCGGAAATACCGCTGTCAACTTGAAGCAAAAGACCGAAAGCGCAAGATACTCGAACCAAGTGAACAATAATGCGCACAAATATTGCGCTGAAATGTGCTTCAACGAGAATAATATCTCGTGTAAGTCCGACGATTGAGGATCGTGATCGAAGCAGTGGAAACACACGTGAATTAAATCTGACGAAACTCCCACGCGCGGTGCGCGAATTTTCCGGATGCACAGCTAAGTACGTGGTGGAGAGCGCAACGTCGCCAAGGCTATGTACAGTGTGTACTCGTATCACACGATAGCAAGTACTGAGTGTTCCTCCTATATAATAAAAATCTCGCGAGTCAGCAACAAGTGGGATCTTCGATAGACGCCGAGCTCCGATTGCTTTCGAAGTGCGCGCGCAGCTGGTTATTCCTCCTCCGTTTCCCTCGGCGTAGCGGCACGACGAGACGGCGGGAAACCGGCTGTCACGGACCCGATCCCGGTGATGAGATACAATCTAACGGAGCTTTCAATGGTCGTCGTTTGTACATAGTTTAATACAGCGTGTAATATCAACTGTCCTTCAGGACCTCCTTCAGGATGGAGCCCGTGTTTCTGGCCGGCACGAAGTCCGGGAATGTCGGGAGAGCAACATTGGACAGCAGCAGCGTGGATTGGGTAGACAGCGAGGAGGACGATGACGACGACGTCGACGACAACGTCGATGAGGACAACGATGACGACGCTGAGGACGACGACGCCAAGGTCGACTGCTGCTGCTTGGTGTATCCGGGTCGTGAGGTAGCCTGCAAAAGTACTCATTGAGAGGAGTGGTGTTCCTGAGAGAACGGAGGATCGCAAGGAATAAGGACCGGTGCGGTCGCTTACCGTGTTCAATATCGGCAAGGCGGGCAGCTGGGGCTTCGGCTTGGATTCGCTCTCTAAAAACCTCACGAAGGCTGCCGACAGAGATGTCTCCTCGCCCTGCGAGATACGTAAGATCGTACATTGCGATCGCGAGCAAAAGTTGTCGGTTTGACAGTTGACAATTGCAGTAAAGAGAATAAAGCCGCTCTTAACTTTGTCTAACAATAGGCGGGAAGAATTGACGGGCCTTTAAGAGCCAAGCATGGATGTTATAGCGCGATTAAATGTTAATTAATTTTAATATTAATATTGTATAAATATAACATTATTAGTATTAGTACGTTTGTGGGAGGATATAGAGGGTGTTCCATTTTAGTGGAAACCGTGTGAAATATCTTGAAAACGAAGCAAATGAAAAATTATTCGCAAAGCAAAAGCTGTAAGGTTTTGAGGAAGACATAAATTGGTAACACCTCAACTTCATTGTACGATCAATAATTCTAAGTCACCAACTTGTGTCCCCCTCCAAACCCAAACGACATTTGCCTGAACCATTTCTTTTTTGTCAATCGCTTCGTTTTCAAAATATTCCAAAATGGGACACTGTATAACACTTGAATGTTTATTATGTAACGCATACTCAGATTATCCTCCGGTCTGCGTACATGGAGAATCCTTACACGTCACACAAGCGTTATCTTTTATTCCCAATGAATATAACTGACCGATTAACCCAACCGAGGATTTGTTTCAATTCATATTAAGCGTTGCGAAAAATACTGCCTTTCCCGTACTTTTAGCAGCGCGCCGCCTTTGCCGGCGCGCAACATCCAGTTGCCCTGCGCCGCGGCATTGTTCACGCCAGTTTTATCCTTCTCCGACTCGGTGAAGTCCAAGACGGTGGCGAAGACCCTCAGAATCGAGGACTTGTCCGACGTGGTCGGGGACAAGTAACCCAGGAGAAGGTTCTTCACGAGGGTTCTGTAAGAGTCAGTCGGAGGATAGGTTTTCACTCGCATGGACAGGTCGGTCGGACGCAGCGGGGCTTTCGTTTTACTCACTTGTCAACCTTTCCCTCGTCGCGCTCCATCGTTTCCCTCACCTTCTCATTGATAGAGCTCACCAGCGCCGTCAGTCGCGTCACTAGAAACGGAGAATCGCAAACATTAACACACACGAAAATGGCACTGACGACTGACGTAGCCAATTTACGAGGGTTCTTTTTCAAACAAATTTTGAACGTTGATTCGAGAGAAGAATGAAAGGAAAAATGAAAAAAAAGAAAGGGAAGAGTTAAATAAATGTATCCGTCTACGAAAGAATATATTCTTTCGTTCCTCCAAGTCGCTTGGAGTGACTTTCACCAAGCTCTGATTAAGCCAATCGGTGACTAATAATAAAAGTCGCCAACACCAATTGAAGTACAAAAACCGGTCAGCTCTGTTTTTTGACATTGTATAGTATCAACAAGAAAGAGGCCTCCAATTTCCAGTTCTCTGATTTGTTCGACGATAATCGGAAAGTCAATAATTTCTACCTGTATTAGCGAGACAGAGCCGGTGACACTTGACCGACTGCAATTTTAATTTTATTAATTTCATTTTGCTTTTATTTTCCATTCTAATATAATTCAATCTTTTCAATCTTATTAAGATCGTCGATCAGCTTAATCGGACTTGGCTGGAAGCCATCCTCGACCGTGACAAAGGGACACGGGTGGCCCCTAGCGGTGTCCGAGAAATGAATAAGGAAATTCACGATCTCTATGTACACCGTGCGCGGTCCAGGTCGTCGCGGGGTCGATGAATTGGTAGCTCGGCAAGACACAGGCGTAAGTATTAACACAAGTACTGGTTGCCTCGACATCACATCAGTACCTGATGCAATACTCTCACCTGCGCCTTGACTTTTTTGCGCATGCTGCATTCCTCGTTTATCATGCCGTGTTCTACAAGAACTAAGGTTTCACGCATGCCACTATAGGGGATACACGAGGGAAGCGCTTCTTTTTTTAGTAGTCCGCATTCGTTCACGTGGCAGAGCACGGTTCGAGCGCGCTCTGACCCAGCGGGGGCTTCCGGGGGGGAGGGAACACGGGAATTTGCAACACACTCGGGGGATTGTCCTGCGTGTGTGAGGGGCTTCCCAAAAGTTCCTGAAAGTCCGCAGATCACTGCACTCTGCCCGCGAACATCTACGCAGAATTACGACACGCTCGCCGTGCGGTACCCGGGAAAAAATGATTATATACGATTATATATTATTATATAAAATCATATGTGAATTTTGCCCATATATGATCATATATGTCTATACGAAAAAAAATGATGCTTTGTCATTTAATTAAATACCGATATCGTGTGCCGTCAGAAGCACGAGTAGCCAGAAGCATTTATTTCGATTGTATTTGCATAATAATTTATAAACGACAGTATTTTTCCCTTGTGGGCATATATTATTAGTCATATACGGGCAAAATAGATGATCTTTTTCTTCCCGGGTATCGGGTCACCTTATCGGCCAAAGAAATCGTTCTCGACAATTTCACCGATCGATTAACTAACGCGTGTGCAAAAAAAGCGAACGATCCGAAAAGTTCCGAAATTTTGACGAATCGTGGTAACGAGTGGGAAACCCCACGAGGTAATATGAGCTTCTCCTATTTACACGCTCACAGTTACCGCATGAGATTACCCACGTCATCGCTACCAATTGTCATCACGCATTCATATATATATATATATATATATATATGTATATATATATGAGTACACACACGCATACACGCATATATACACACAGAGTGGCCCGTTATATCCTGTAAATGGACTTATCTCTGGAAGCATAGCGAACGAAGGAAATAACACGTACAGGTATTAAATAGTTTCGAGGGGAACGTCAGATACGTCGCACGTGTTTATCGCAGACGTCCGCACCCTCAAAACAAAGCACGCGTGCGACGAGTTCGATGTCCTTCCCGAAGCTATTCACAACCCCGTACATGCTGCTTCCACCATTGGTTACACTTCTCGAGATGAGTCCACTTACAGATCGCGCCACTTTGTATGTATAAAGTTATAAATATTTGTGTGCCACCGATACACTTTAATTTTGTACATTCCGCGCGCTAATACATATTGCCACGACGTACCGTCATAACAACTACAATATGTGACTGAAACATGAGAGGACGGTAAAGCTTCTCACGAGTCTCTAGAGATCTCAGTCTCATCGAATTTGTGACGATAGTCGTTGAAGCACAAAAAAATCGTAGAATTTGTCGCAACAACAATTGTAATAAAACGAATCGAGATGTTTCATCTACGGAATTCCATTCGTCAATTGTTCAAAGCAGTTGTTCTCGGGGCGATTCTTACAATTGCATACATAACCGCGGCCGTCTCGCACAGTCTGACGTATCTAACTAACTAATTAACTAACTAACACAGTCGTACAGAGCAATTTACAAAACAAAGTGACCTCTAATATTGCGTCGAACTCGATATCTCATTACTTATCTTGCATGCATGTTAGGGCGCATGGCGATCAAATTGCATCGTCGCAGGGGACAGTTGTGTGGATTTTATACGTGTGACATTCGTTAAAAAATATATTATCGTGCGAAATAATTCCAACAAGCACATCGGCCCCTTCGCCGGTAAGAAACGAACGATCGGACGACAAAATAATCGCTGCTACATGCAAGATAGTAACGTAAAGTTTCGCTAACAAACACACACACACGCCTGCATATCGTTCCACGGGAATAGATAACTACAATCAGTTGTGCCGACAATTAGTTACGAACTAACAACAATACGTGAAAACAATATGGCCGGTCAAAAAAAACGAGAGAGAAAGAAAAACCGGAAACAGAACGTTAAGGGTCGAACGTTAAAGGTGTGTGCAGAAAAGAGCGCAACGTCCAGCGGTCGTTTCTCTCGCGCCTCCTTGTCTGTTTAACGTCAGGGGGGAAACACGAGAATTCGCAATATAATGTAGTAAAGTGCAGAAACGTAGTAACCAGCACCAGCGGGGGTGGGGGTGGGGTGGGGCAATTGCGTGAGCCAACCAACAGGCGATTTAGTGTGCAAAGGCGATGATCCAGTTCGTAGCCAGATACCAGCAAGAATCCTGGGCTACCGTCACAATCCCCAGAATTACCAGCTGATATTTGATTACACCACCGGATAGTGACACGTGTTTTTTTTTGCTTTCGCAGATTAGTTACAGTGATTGCGAACACACTGATCGTTATCTCGAGGATTCGTTTGTTTTTTTTCGACGATACTCGCTGCTGCATCTACCGCTCTCTATCGACGTGCTGCTGCGCGTGCTACAGATTATTGCAACGTGCGAATGGTGTCATTTTATTTCGTCGCTGAATTACTTGACGTCCTTCAGCCGAGTGCACGTGGCGTTTATGTTATTCACAAAGAAGCTATGCGGGGGGTACGGATGAAACATTTCGTTCGGCTATCTGCGGGATAAAATGGTTTAGTGATTCTTTGGAGTCGCGCGCCCGAACATAGCCGAGTTACCGTCGCAGCTGCTAAAATTTCAACGTGATTATTGTTAGAGCACATGAAACATGAAATCGCATTTCTACGCACAGGCAGTCGGCAGATTACGGGCCCAGATAGCCACGGAAGGAATAAGGAGTTAAATATACGGGATTGGGAATAAAATGTTGGAAATAAACCATAGTTTAAAATACAATAAGAGGGATGAAGAATAAGACATAAGAACGGGTTTTAGAACGAGATCACTTTTACTGTATTTTTTAATAAATCTTTACCGTTATCATTAACACTGTTATTATTTTCTTGATAATTATCGATTAATTCAAACCGACTTCCATTTATATATTGACGATCATTAGACATTTGGAAGGTTAACTAACATTCAACCTAAATTCTATAAGCACACAAGTTATAAGGGATAGAATTTCGTCAATGTTCCTGATCCTAGTTCCCTATTCCTTTATTATGGATTGAAGCATAGTTGTTCTTATGTCGAAATTTAATTCCTTGTTTCTAATAATTCTCTATATTTAATTCTTCGTTCCTTATTCCTTTCATCGTGTCTGAGTTCCAAAGGTAGTAACATTTTCTTTTCTCATAAATTTTGTTACGCATCTCCGAGATTCTCTTTTTTTAAGTAATTCTCAAGAGAGACATATTTTCCTGTTGGACGTGAGATGCGTTGCTAAGCTCATCGAAAGAGAAGCGTTGCAATTTTTAATCCGCCGACTGTGCATACTCTTTTTTTTTCTAGCGGTTTTTAGCGTACAAGGTGTACATTACGATTCGTACATTAGTGTTCGTACAATTGGGCGATCGATTCTAATAGACGATTCATCAATCAACGACAGATTCTAAAAGCACAGAGTCCGCGTGAGACATCCGGTCTCGAAGAGACGTCGCGTTTCGACGCTACGATTTCAACGTTCCGGTTTTATCCTCGACGATCCTCGACGTGTCGACTCACCGACACATTGTTTATTCTCTTTTTCTCGTAAGATGTTCTTGCTCAAGCTCCGCTTGTGAGTTCGTATTTTTATACGTACACATGAAACAGCGCGTTATTAATTGAATCCGTGCGGTATGCGTCGCGTGATTTAATCCGTCGCCCAACCGCAAGGTGTTAAAGTGAAAGCAGAAATATGTAAGGAACATGTGATCGATCTTTTGTGTGCGATACCGAGCAGAAATTTCTCGGGTTCTCGCTTCTCACGATGCATGAAACGATATAATCGAGAAACACTGATCATGCCATAAAGGAAAAAAAAAAACAAGATGCAAGAGGCAATACTGAAAGTGTGTAACTTTGGATCGGGTAGTCACCTTCTTCGTTGAGTTGCCCGATTTGCTCGTCCTTCTTCTCGAGTTGCTCGCTTAGTCTAGAAGCAGCTTGCAAGCATTCTTTAGCTTCGGATAATTGTTGCTGTAAGCATATATGTATGCATATACACAACGAAATTCCATGAGCGAATTGATCTGACGAATATGCTGTATATGGAATATTGTACTGAAGTTGTTGTTCAGAGTAACAAGAGTGTGGAAGAAGAGCGTGCAAACCTTGAGAGTTGAGATTTCACTCGCCAATTCCTGCTGTCTCTCGTACGACTCGTTGAGCTGGGATCGAATCTTCTCCGTCGCCGATATGATGTCGCGTTCTTTAGCTGTAAATTTAAATAAGTGCGCTATTAAGGCTCACCGCAGACATCTCGATCGTCCACGTGAGAAGCAAGAAAATTAAAAGATACATTCATAAAATGATATTTGTAACCGATTGAGAGAGTACATTTGTAAAATGCCTCTTTCCTTTTACTTTAACTATCAGTAAATAGCCGTAAAATTGAAATTAACGTGACAAAATCACGAGAGAAGATAGGCTAAAAAGGGAGATCGTATTCATTAATGAACTCCTCTTGATGTCGGCCATAAAATGCAAACAAAAACACATAATTATATATATATATATAAAAAAAAAGACCTTGACCTTCAAGTCTCTGGAAAAAATGACCTTGAAAAAAATCCCTTTGTTATCATAATTACCTCCTCGAACGGTGCAGCTACTTTTTGCTTAGACATTTTTTCGTCAAAAACAAGTGAAACATTTAAGATGCTCGATTTAAATGGACCACTCTGTATATAATATATCAACGCAGGTAATATTCGTGAGACAGAAAGTCTCGTAATAATTACGTTGTAAGAAAAGCACTGAAAGAATTCAACGCAAAAAAAAAAGCGCTGAGTTCAAATAAATAATTACTCCGATGCTCTTTAGCAGATTTTTACTTTGATCGAATAAGTATCATACTTGAATAATTGACTTGAAAAATCTTTTACTCGGATCGAGAAGGTATTACTTGACCCAAGTAAAAGTTTACTGTCGTAGTAATTATTTATTAAACAATTACTTGAATCTACCGCTCCTTTTCCCGCGCATCAACGAAACTTTTACTTACTCTGTTGGAACTGCTCCAAGACAATCTGTAGGTTAGTCAAAGAGGCGGCCTGTACTAAAATGTTGTCTTCCGTGGCGGACAGCTTCGCCTGTATCTGATCCCTCTGCTGAACGATGAGGGCCATTTGTTGCTGCAACGTCTCGACCTGCTGGTTCGCCCTGATACTCGCCGACGTGTAAGCGGTCAGGCTGTTCTTCATCTTCTCCTCGACCTGTTGCAGCTTCGTCTCCAGTTCCTCGCGCGTCTTCTCGGCGATCAGAGCCTCCTCCGTGTAGCTCGACTCCATCTCGACCAAGTGCGTCCTCAGCCTCTCCAGCTCCCTGGCGGCGTTGATCTCCTTGCCCTGACTCTCGGCGAGCTGGTCCCGCAGAATCCTGCTGTTGGATCGCTCTTCGATCAGAGCGGCCTCCAGCACGCCGCATTTCTCGTCCAGAGCCGCGAGTTCGTTCCTCTGGCGCTCGGCGATCTGATTCTTAGCTCCGTTGGGGCCGTTTTCCTCCGTATTCGCCTTACCCGCCGCCTCGTTCACCGTCCGCTCAGCGATCAGACCCTGGATGTGAGCCGCCTGCTCGTTCACGCGACGAACCAGCTGCTGAATCTCGTCTTGGTATCGCAAGACTTCGTTGTGCTTGACAGCAGCAAGCTGTTCCAGTCCGTCCCTTCGTTGGTCGATCATAGCGATGTCACCCGACATCTTCGCGATGGTGTCGCCTGCCTGTGCGAGGTCGGCCCGTAAGACGCTCATTTCGTTGTCCTTGTCTCGAATCAGGCGGGAGAGATCCTCGATAGTCTGCTTGGCCATCCCCGCGGACTCCTTGTTGTTCTCAACAGCAGTTTGCAGTCGGGCATGTAACTCGGCGATCTCGCCCGTCAGCTTCTCGTTGAGTTCCCTTGCGATCTCCTTCTCCCGCCTCTCCCCCTCGATTATCTGCTCGAGCGTCCGTTGTTCCTCGGACGCCGCGTTGCTCGCATCTTCCGCCGCCGAGTCTCGCTGCTTTTCCGCTCTCACAGCCTCCTCGTCGTTCATTTGACGTTCGTCGTGCGTCGTTTCCGGAGGCACGAGCAGCATAGTCGAACCCTTCGCCTCTCTCTCCAAGGACTCGCATTTGTTCAGCAGGAAGTGGAATTTCGCCTCCCTGAGATTCAGCTCTTCCTCGAGCTCCCGTACTCGCCTCGCTCGTTCCGCCACCGCGTCCCGAAACTTTTGCTTCTCCTCCTCGAGTTCTTCGCATCGCGCCTTCAACGCACCGCGCTCGTTCCCCAATTCCGCGTGACGCTGCTGCGTCTCGCGCAGCTCCTCCCTCGCGCGAGCCAGGTCTTCCTTGTAGGTCGACACCTCCTGCTTCAAGTCCTCGTGTTCCTGTTGAAGCAACGACATCTCTGTGTTCAGCAGCTCGATCTTATCCAGGGATTCGTTGTGCGTAGCCGCCAACTGCTCCGACAGAGAAACGTTCTCTTTGGTCAATCGGTCGTTATCTTGGCACAATTTCGCAAGCTGAGATTGCTTCCCGTCGATCTGAGTCTGCATCTTGTCCAACTTCATAGTCCTGCACGAAAGGTCGTCTTGTAAGGCGGATTTCTCGCGATCAGCTTCGTTAAGCTGTTGCTGCAGGTCGCCCAGGACGCACTCGTAGTAATCGTTCCTTCGTAAATTGTGTTCTCGCTGATCATACAATTCCATCTCCAACTGCGCCTTCTTCTTCAGCAAATCTTCGTTTTCTCTCGCTAATTTGTTCACAGTGTCCCGTTGAAGTGCCAAATCACTCTCCAATAATTCCACTTTGGACACCGTCTGTACTAATTCTTGCGTTACGTTTTCATGGTCGACTCTCGGCCGCTCGATCTCTTCGTCCGAACTTTTCACCTCACTCGAAGGTATTGGGAACTCTTCTCGTTCCGCCGTATCTTTCGACAGACCAATCTCTTCCCACGACTCTTTGTCTTCTTCCAAGCACGAGCGTGGTACCTGGTGATCGGCGTTCTCCGTCGATTGGCTGGAATTTGTCGAAGACAATTCCTGGCTTCGTATAGCGCGCGTCAGATTCGAGTTTGTCTCGCGCATCGTTTTGTTCTCCGCCAGAAGGCGCTTCACCTCTTCGTTCAAGGATTCCACGTCCGTCTCCAGGGAAGCTACTCGTTCTTCGCTCGCCTCAGGAATACACGGCAGGCTCGACTTTAAGGTTTGATTCTCCATCAGCAGCGTGTCGATGTGGGACTGCAACTCCTCGCAGTCCATCTGCAGAGCGTCCTTCACGTCCTCGGCGTCCTTGAAGTTCCTCGCGGTCTCCGTCAATTTTCTCTCCAGCATCTCCAATTTCCACTTGGAGTCGACGTACTGCTTCGCGAGCGTCTCGAAGATCGATTCTCCCGACTCGACGCTGTTTATAGTGCAGTTTCTCAGGATGGCCTTGACTTTCTCGGTGACATCGTCGAGATCACTTCTTGCCGGCACCGAGTCGTCCTTCTGAGAGGGAGGTGTCGCTTGAGTGTGCTTGTCCAGTTTATCGATACTTCTATCGAGCTTCTGTAACTGCGTATCGTTGCTTCGCAATTCGATGATCTCCCTCTGAGCCTCGTTGTAATCTACGGAGAGTTGCTCGTACGCGCTTTGGAGGGTACGGTGCTTCTTGTTGGCTTCCTGCCTGAGAGCGAGCAATTCTTCTGCAGAAAGTAGAATGTAATCAAGAGTTACAGGTCAAGTAGAATCTTTATATTTGGAAATTGTGGTTTCTATAAGAAAAAGGAGGGAATATTAATATCTGACTTGTGAAAGCCAACCCGCTATTGTTAGGGCGTGACAATTTAATAATATCGCACTTTGCAAAAACATTTCGGCCTATTGCGGACTCTTTTCGAATAAAGAAATCGCCAAAAAAATCTAACGAGTCGCAAATTGAACCAAATTTTAGAAACTACGAAAAACGATCACAAATCCAAGCAAGAAACCAAAGTTATAGAAAGGAAAATTTAATTTTAGTCCTTATATTTTTACTTTTATATTATTTTTATAATAATTATGTATTATTTCTCCAAAGGAATGATGATAATAATAAGGGGCAATAATAAAAGATAAATAATAATAATTTTTGAACGACAAGATTGCGACGACAATTCGTGCGCACCTGAGAAAGACAATTATTCCACTTACCAATTGATTGCGAATGTCCTTCGTCCAATTTTTCCATAGCCTGCAGGAGATCTTCGTTCTTATTTTCGAGCTCCTCTATCCTTTTTCGCAATATCTCCTCCTTTTGGGTCGAATGTTCCTCGTTTGTATCACTCGGCTTGCTCGGTTGTTCCGAGTTCGCGTCGAAATATTGCCTCAAAGTTAAAGGATTGTATTCGAAGCCACCGACTCGGCCGAATTTCTCGTCCGAGTCTGATTTCTCGTGCTCCTTCATCTTGCCGCGCGTGTCGCTCTCGATCTGCAAAGCTTTAAGAGCTCCGCTGACCAAATCGAATTTTTCATGCGAGTTCAACTTCGATATTATCGAGCGGAAATCGTTAACGAGCGTGGTTTCGTCCAATTGAATGCGTTTAGCGTTTCGTTCCGCTTCTCGGGTCTAAGAGAAAACGTAAAATATCAGTAATGAATATGATCAAAAATTAATCCGCTCCTCTTTTGGGTGATATTTCAACTATAATTTTGAAGCCTCGAAAAAAACCAGTTTTTCCAATTTTCCGCAGATTTTTTCCGTTTCTGTTCCAAAGGTTGAAATATTCGTTTAGAAAAATTCACATGTATTCGATTAAAACCTGCTATTTACTCTTTAAAGTAAAGAAAATAAGAAACCGGAAGGATTTCCATGAAAAAATGGAAAAAAACTGGATTTTTTCCGCGCCTATAAAACTATAATATTTTAACATTGATCAATATTTTAACGAGTTTTTCTAAAATAACCATCATAAATTGCAAATGTGTTTTTTTTAATAAGTTTTTTTCTTAATAATTTAGTGAATTTCTCTCGGACTCGTTTGCGCGCAAGAAATTAGAAATGATCTCTCTTGTCCACGATTTTCCACTTTCCGTTAATTACAAAAAAATAAAAAATTATAACAGGAAGATGATGTAAATACATACTTGACGTAGTGCTTTAATACCTTTTCTTCTATTTGTATTATACGGTTCAGCATATCTTGCTTCGCCCGTAAAACCTCGGCCCTTCGATGCCCATCGGGAAGATCGTCCTTCATGGACGTATTGTTCACCTGTATTTACACCGCTTATGTTATCGTGTTCACGGAGATATCGTTACAAGTACTCTCAATGATCGTTACCATTTCGACGTGTTTCAGTTCGCATTCTAATTCACGTACTTTCACGGTGGCTTGAACCAGCTGCTCTTGCAATTGGCGCACATGATTTTGATTTCTCGCATTTCGATTGTTGTCGCATGACGGGTCCCAAAACGCTCCCTCGCTCGCCTCATCAATGTGATTTGTGTCCTTCTGTAACGAGAGGAAAGCTGCAAAATCGTGAAATCCCTAATCTTTCGTGAAGTCTTTCGTGAAATCCTTAATTTCAGAGAACCAACAACTTATTAAAAATTTTTTATTTCAAACCGTTGCATGTTTATTTCAAAAATATTTTACTCAATATAGCTTTAATTTAGTACATTTCTTAGTTTCAATGAGCCTATTTGTTAAATAATAAATACTGAATTTCTGGAGCCGAACCAAGAACTTACATTTTACATTTACATGTAAAATATTTGCTAACGTATACATGATTTTCGAAAATTTACTTTAGATATATCAGTTTATTGTAATTTAAAGATGAAAATTTGTAGTTTTGCTCGGAATTTTTAATATTCGAAAATTCGAGCGGAAAAATTTTGCCGATGGGAACGGATTTTGAAAATCGATTCACGTTTAATCTGCCTGTCGTTATAATCTATAGATAAAGATATGGATTCTAGGGATACAGGGTGGGACACACTCCTCGTTTCGATCTAGAATTCAGTGAAAAATGATGCGAGAACATGATGCCCTGCGCAGCCTGCGAGAAGAAATCTAGACAATCTTAGGGAGGTGGTCTTTGAAACGGGCTGTCGAACATTCATGGAACATTCGGAATCAATGCTTCCCATTCCAGTGAGCAGATGCGTAATCGATACGAAAAATCTCCTCGAGGTGGACGATACGCTTGCTTGTCGAAATGCTAATAGACATATCGGCCCTCTCGCTTGAGAATAGCATTGTGTGCTCGGACGATCTCGCGTGCGATAAAACGTCGACTTTTATCCGCCGGCTGTTTCGTCCTGACACGTCCTGAGGAACGAGAGAGGAGATGGAAAATAAAATGAGAAAGGCAGGGCGAAATGGTGGTTCACGGGAATGTTTCACGTAAACAACGTGGTGACGGAAAGCACGAAGGACTCGAAGATGATAATTTGAAGGTAACATATTCTCTAAATGTCTTGGAACACAACTTCACTCGAAAAGTAGAGTGACAATCCAAGTGTTACTCGGATTCACGCGATTTTTCACACAGTATACAGCGAATTCTTCATTCTGAATCATCGAGTAAACATATTTTGTGCTTTCGCGTGGTGTGGAAAAAAACTTGGCTTCCGAATTAGCGTCGCGTCATATACGGATTTGTTTCCTAGTGAGGATTTTCACTCGAGACTGAAGAGTGATGTATTCCCGCCGTAGCGGGAACAAATTCGCTCTAATCGATTGCAACATTCACTCGTACTGAGTCAGAATCCATTTTAAGCTTGAGAAACATTCATTCTTACGATTTCAAGTGGCAGTATTTTTTTATCGCTCCGCGTTAATATACCGCGGTTTTTCGCTTATTTTATGGAAGATTCCACTGCGAGAAATTTTAATACCTAATGTTATTTATTTTCGAGTATTCGTTAATGAACGAATTAATTAACGATATCATATATATTTTTTAATTTAATTCGCAATTTTTAGTTAATTTTTAGTTTCTATTTTTCAGTTCTCAATTTACAGTAAAATTGAGTAACGACGGTGCGTTTCTGCCTGCTCTGTTCATCGGAGTACGCTTGAAAATAAAATATATATCATCGAAATCGCGACGTCACGGCCTCGGGGGAATTATTCAAGACCATTATCTGAGGTTTATTCGACTTTCGTTGCGCGCGTGAACCATTTCTTCCGGTACTTTTCATATAAATCGATTTGCGCGAACCTCGCCGGAGACGAACACGGCGGCCGCGCGCGCGCATTTTGTGGTCCAAAGCAGCACGAGGCGGGACGATTCTAATGAATATGAAAGGAGGTTTCGTTGGGTCAGGTCAAGGAATAATGCGTCGTTTGACTTGCATACAGTCTCCCGACAAAAGTCTCCACCTTTCCTCGGTAACAGCCTTTTCTTTTGTTCGTCTCACACATTTCGATACGTTAAGAACGCGACGAATATCCGGTCGAATAACGATATACCGACGAATGTCCGACGATAACATTCTTAAAAATCTTCGATTGTATTTCAGCAAAATTTCAGAGAGCACTTTTGGACACTCTGATTCGAAACAAATTAGACGAACAAAAGGAGACGATATGAAGCAAATTGCACGGAAAAAAATGTTTGGTATTTATAATTATAATCGCATAAGTGAAAGAATTGTAGTCGGGAGAACCAGTTTTCTAGTAAGTGTTATAGTGTGTTGGTGATAATAATTTTGCATGCATATCACTACTACACAGAAAAAAGTGCGCTTTTTTTCTGTGCATCATTTTTTGGGTTAAAATCAGAAGAATACATGTAGAAAATTTTTATTGAATAATGTAATATACTAACAGCATGATTCACTAGACTTGTATTGTGCGATTAGGATATTATAATAATAATAATAATAATAACGATTACTTTATTGGGCGTTACTAAATTTCACATACCAATATGTATTATATTACTCGCGCCGATGACGTCCAAAAAGCGAAGTATCAGCGATTAAACTCCCAATGCCTTATCGATATACTCAGAACGTGAAGTCAAAATATATACATTATAGCAATAAATGAATGGTCTGATCGGATATATTTTTAACCCGATTCTACATCAATTTACCATACGTACAAGGAAAAATCAATTTACCATACGTACAAGGAAAAATATTAGAAAAGTAAAAAACGTTTCATACTGATATGTGCATTTTCAACGCTGAAGCTTAGATTACGCGTTATTTCTAATGACAGCATGAAAAAAAAATCTTATCTCGGGTAGTAACTATTGTGTAACGTATGGCACTGTGTACGCGCATATGTATGAGAACTGCATAAAGACGGGATACTCGTTGTGTAGCACAGACCATAGTTTGTGACCAGCGACGTGCATTTGTAATCGTCGTTCGCGTTGCATATAGTTTGAGCCGTTGCTTCTTAAATTTTCCATATTACCTCGAAATTGTTTCGATGTTATAAATATATCCTAACCGGACAAGACCACTATGATTTTTCCGTTTATAACTTCGGGAAAAAATTCTCTACGTATAGTTGAGGCCGAAAATGATTATAATTTCGGCGAGATCGCTATCGGTGCGTGCATTGAAAAAATGAATTGGTAACAATTACCAAGTATTTGATTAAATAATTTCAGCCAAATCGTTTTACTTCAACTCCTCTTCTCAGTATATAATCAAGTATATATTAAGTATATATAAAATTTCTATGTACATAGGAAAAAAAATTGTCTCAAATTAAAATAGATATTCTCACATATAAAGAAGACAGTATTATAATATTCTTCGAAGATTTTCAGTCTTGAATTGAATACACTTAATACTTGCGTCAATGCAAATTCAATCGAGACTATAAATCTCCTCCCGAGAAGATTGCAGTATTCTCGCTTATGTATGAGAATATCTATACTTTAAGACTGATTTTTTGTTTTGCGTATGTTACGTATAGGTATAATTGAAAAAGAACATTTCTGTATTTATATGTGTATGTATACACCGTTCCCCAGTGTTTCTTTCATCGGGCGCACGCGTAACGCGAGACGAGCGCCGCAAGAACTGCCCGCGGAATGATCAGCGAGTAATTTCAATCGACACACGTGGCGCTCATGCAATTATATAAAACCTACCGAGGGGCACGATGACGCGTTTACAAGTGAAACGAGCGATCGACGAGCAGGCAAACGGAGGCCCGGTAATTCCGTTGATAAAATTCGTTATTCGCGAAAAGATGCGCGCGCCTGGTCATCCGGTCGACGGAAATATGGGGAACCTCGCGAAAAAGAGTGCGCGTTCGCGCGAGACAAAGGACAACTTTGCGACAACTTAGCGACAACTTCGCGCGGATAGTTCGGATCATTTCGACGACGACAGGACGAGCGTGCCTGCCGAGCGAGCCTTTTCGAATTTTTCTCTCGATTTTGTACATTTCGTACCGCCAATATTTATACGACGCAGATATGACTCGCGCCGCCGTGTCGCTCTGCGCGCGCTCGATGCTCGTCGCGCATCGCGCAGAGATAACGCGATTCTGATAGCAAGCGTGGGAAAGGAAGCTCCTATCAATCGCACTGTAAACGTGAGTTATCGTAATCCGTCCGATGATGAGAAATCTACGAGGACGCTGCCGCGCCAACCGGCCTTATCAGCCGTCATTGCGGCTTGCACGATGGGAAGTGCAAAGAGGGAAAAAGAAGTAAAAAAAAAATACACAAGAAAACAAAAGGCATTCGTGTTTCTGAGACGTTTATGCGTCTGCATAGTCGGCGTCATGCATGCTGTATCATTCTCCAGGCGGAGGATCGCACGATTTTCAGACTTACACATCACGCATAAAGTTGAAGATTGCAAAAGTAACTCCAGGTATATTGCTCTAATTATAATAGTTTCGAGATTTTACGTGAATAAAAATGAAAGGCTAGAACTCGTGCATAGGAAAAAGTGCTAGATTCAAGTACATAATTATTCCAATATTCCTTGATAAATTTTTATTTGAATTAAGTAAATATTACTTAAATATAGTATTCTTTCTACATTCAATTAATATATTTATATAATCCAAGTAAAATTTACTTAATCCAAGTAAGAATTTGCTAAGGAATATTAGTAATTATTTTACTTGAATCTAACACTTTTTTCTGTGTATGTAATAGTAAAAAGTTTCAATCTATGGAATAGTAGAACATACATGACGCCGACTGTACGTGTACCAAGCCAGTAGCACGTAAAAGAACGCACGTAAACAATAAAATTCAGCAAGCGAGTCGTCCGATCACAAAATTCTCGACTGAAACCGTCGATTCGCTTAAATTTTGCCGTTTATCGCGGCTTATATTTACATGCCAGTGCTGTTGTTTATATAACGCGCCGTATATAAATTAATTTTTTCACGCGAGAGCTGCAACGTATTTATGCATGTGTAACAAGGACGCGTATCATTTGCATATTAAGGTCACATCGTCGCAGCTAGAAATAGGAAAATAGAAACTGATCATTTATGTTCAACAGTCCTCAGAA